TATCTTTTTTACTTCAGGTTTACTTAAGCTAGCCTAATTTCCCACGCAACATAATCAAGATTGATTGACATGCTTCGCCTTTCTCAAATCTTAAAAACCGCAAGTTCGCTAGGTCGGTTTTAAGGATGGCTTTCAAGTCACTTAAAACTTTCTTGAATCGTTTCAACTTTCCGACTTCAATGAGATGCAAAGTAAAGTTACTTTTGAGATTTTACATAGGCCTTCACACACACATTTTTGGCTAAGTAAAACTTAGCAGCTCTGAAGTCTTACTTAACAGCCTAGTGTAAAGACAACCAATATCTAGATCTCTGTTCATTAGAATCTTGGAACCGCTGTACATGCACATCGTGCACATGGCTAACCTTCCATTTCTTATTGGTCAAGTGTGTTCTTAAGTCTGGTGTAGTCCATACTTAAGGGCGAACTTCGGCTTCTTTGAACTGCGAACGTTTCCATTGTCGCCAAGTAAAGCTGAAGTAGGTACATTTTACCCATTCACACTCAAAGTAGGATTCAAGTATCCAAGTACACTTGTACACTGATTATACTTGAAGCTCTAGTGTGAAGCTAACAAATATCATTTTGGTGTCCTCGCTATCGTTAGAAGTTCTTAATTCATCATGACCAGATATTTTTACTTACTTGAATCACAGATTCCTTTACCAAAGAGAGACAGTAAAACTGAAATGGAGCAGACATAAAAAAAAAACTGATCAGTGTTAAATTAATAAAACTGTCAAACTGAATTCATGTTCGGTTGTGTTTAGACTGTGTAGGTGGCGAAAAACCAGAGCGATTGTTCGTTTCACCAGTCGCTGTTTGGTTTGGCAGTAGAACCAGGATAATTTCCGATCAGTGTCGCTTCACAATGTGGCTCCGCCACGAAAATGCACCTTTTTGCTCTCAAATAAGAATCGCAACTCTGAAAGCCCGAGATTCCCCAAAAGAAATAAAACAGATCATTTAGAAATGCCGTCTCCCAGGGAGTAGTTTCAAAAAAATCGAAATACATGTTGTCTTAAGCTTTTTTTTGTTCTATATACTGAGTGACAACCTATTTTACTGATCACGAGAACACAAATTATACTTTTCTATCGAATAAGAAATTTCCGCTTTAGCTGCAGCTGCAGCTGCAGCAGTTCGATCCGATTCTTCCTTAATCTATTTAAAAACGAAAATAATATGAATAAATCTTCATATTTTTCAAGACGTTTTAGTTCAGTAAGTATTGAAGGTAAGAGAGAATAATCAGAGAAATTTAATTCGTTTGTTTTCAGAGGATTTGTTTAATTGGCACCAGGCGTCTGGTTGTCATGCGGACTCTCTATATATTAACGTACCACTCATGCGAATCGTTGTAAAACATGGACATTTATTGCTATTTGAGGAGAGAAGAGTGCTGCTGCGAAAAAAAAAAAGCTGTCGATGATTTCTTTTTTGTTTGCCTGCTACTGCAAATTCAATATTTAATCTTACGTAAACAAGTGAATCAGGGGATTTCATTAAGAATTGCAGTAGCAGGGGAATAGGACGTCAGAACACCCAACGAGAATATAGTTCGAAACCACTTAAACATTAAAAACATTGTTAAACGTATTTTAGTATAATTTAAACGGTAGATATAGGCCTATTTTTTAATCCCCTAAAAGTTTTTCGTCTGTTCGGATTTCCTAGCTGAACTTGTCTCGTGATCCGAAAATTATAGGGATCAAAACTTACGACTTTTCGAAACATTCAGCCAGAAAAAAGGCTCCCGAAAATTCTAGGTGATCTTTTTAGGGAAAAAATCCGTTAGAAATGGGCAATTATACCATATTTGGGGGGTCGAAAATCCTAGGAGAGGCAGGCAAGCAAGAAATTTAACAACAAATGTTCCGAAAATTCTAGATCTCAAAACGTCTTCCGAACAGATGTTTTCCGAAAATTGTCGTTGGGTGTCCCTGAGTACGTGTGAAGTAACAGGAGAATATTTTACAGTCAAACCAGGTCAAGCGTACCCCCCAAGAATCCATTAATGAATTTATTCTTCAAATGTTGAATCCGTTGCTAGTTGTAGATTTCAGATTGATCTCTGCATTCTTGCATGTGTAATGAGCCGTGAATTCACACGCGAGGCAGTTATGAAATTTCTACCAGCTCCATTTTCCTGAAATTGATGTAAATGTCTTCAAAGAAGCTTAATCTATTCAGATTTCCAATCTGGCCAAATACAGAGAAGTTCTCGTAAAATATTCACTGCTCATTACGCATGCAGAAATGCCGCTTTGAATTTGACACCAGTTACGGGAACGACTAACGGGTTCATTTTTCAAATAATCAATTCATTAATAGAATCTTGAGGGGTACGCTTGACTTGGTTTGACTGTAAAAGAGCGAAGCCCTTTCCCGGAAAGAGCTTGAAAATGACTGAGAGGAACCAGGAAATTTTGCGTTGTAAACCCTGCTGAGATGGCTTTTCCTACTGTCTGATGGCAAACTTTATTTCTCGTATGCAATGTTTTTTGTTCCCCGAGGCAGCTATCCTACCGATCAAATGGAAAATGATTAACCAAAGGACGTCTGCTCTTTAGCATAACTGTGCATATTTCTTTCAATTCACTTACATTAAAATACACTTATTTTAAAATAGCGATCATTCACTGAATTATCAGGGGCAGTTCATTGAGCATATAAATGACAGAGTATCAAATTACTATGAAGCAAATGCAAATTTTGAGACATTCTATTTTAACGATGACTTCTAAAACGGCACATTATAAATTGTAACTGCAGAGGAGACGAAGAAGAGATATTCATCGATATTCGACAAATCGTCTATTAAACCGAACACGTTAAGTTTTGCGCTCATAGCGAATTTGTTTTTGTGTAGTACGTGTCGCCGAGAGAGGCCGGAAGAGTTTCTCACGTCTCGTGCTTTCACTATTGAAAATGTCTTAAAAATATTGAATTATTTTCACTCTTTAGTATGTCACAACTCTAGGAGTGTGTAACACGGTTAGAAGTCGATCATAATTTAACTGAATATGCCGGTTAATTCGAAGAAAAAATGTTTTGAAACCATGTAGAGGTCGTGAAAATGAATTTAAGCAAGGTTGCTAACGCGACAGATTACATCTGAAAAGTTCCTTGTAATTTCTTATTTGAGATCATAGCTAACGTACCTGCAACTTGTAGGGTTGAAATACATGCAGTTAAGGCCATCACGTTCGTCGCGGTACTTTTTACTTGCTCCGTCTGTTCAGTCAAACTGCAATGATAGCTCAAGCTTGTTGACAAAGTAACACACCCAACAAGGTCTACCAGAGGCGGAAGCAGGCGATGTACGTCGCGAGATTCGACCAATCAGAATGCGTCATTTGTAGAGTGATTTTCGCGCTTGGAAAGAGCTCCTTTCACAGGTATATGTGGTGAACTTTTCGCTTTATTCCAAGCTTGTGTATGTAATTTCGACACTATACCGCCATGGAAAGTTGTTGGAACACTATATTTTGACAGCAGTTGCGTTAGTTTTAAATATTTTGCTTTCTTGAGCGTCTGTGACAAGTTTGAATTGCTCGGTCATGTGCAAGCCGCCATGATTATTTGAGTGTTATTTTCGCCGTTCTTCTTGGATTTATTGCTGGTTACTGTTAGCGGTTTTATCGGATTATTTCGGTCAACTTGTTTCTTCAACCTTTCTTCTTTGTAAATTTTGTGGTCTACCTGGGTCTATCCCTGTTAGTTTCTCCGTTATGAGGCGTTGAAAGTGTCTTGGAATGTAGCCTGCGTAGCAAGCGTTTCTGTTCGGTTTTGGAGCAAAGAATGAGGAACAAGAGTCAAAGACCACGCTAAAAATGGCGCAAGTAAAAGAGCGGGGAGGGGTTGGGGAAGAAAGGAAGGAAACGCTTGCTGACAAACCCCTCGATTTTGAAAACCGCCCACTTGGCCTGTCATGCCTGAGTTCACGCACTGACATTTGATGCTGTCAACAGCTGTCATAATTGACCAATAAAATGTTTGTCCTTCCGTGGAGCGGAAATGAACTTTAGAGGCGGGTGTGTGAAACCAAAATCAATTTTTTTTGGTATTTTTGAACGCGTGGACGGCGTCAATGGTCAAATCTCAATGAATCCGAACGATCAATGCAGTAGAAGTAGAAGCTGTCAACCTCTCGGTTCATTCATGGCTGCCATTTCTTATTGGTCAAGTGTGTAGTCCAATATTACTTAAGGGCGAACTTCGGCTTCTTTGAACTGCAAACGTTTTAATGGTCACCAAGTAAAGTTGAAGTAGATACATATTACCCCTCAGGCACATGTGTGCCCCCAAAACGGGCACTCATGGAAAAAAAGACTTCTGAAATATTTGGCAGTGTTGACCATTCCCAAAACTCATTGTTGATACCTGATTCCCATTGGGTGAAACGACCGAATTTGATTGTTCGACAACGTTCTTTTTTGTCGTCACGCAACGCTTCTCAACGAAACACAAAACACAGAGAACGGTTGTGTAAGAGACTACAGGTGACGTAACGTAAGACTCTTTGATGAACGTTTTGCCCCATTTAAGGGAATCTAAGACAGTCTTGGATTCTGGATTCCATGCTGTGGATTCTGGATTCCGGATTCCGGGATTCCAGGTACGTGGATTCTAGATTCTTGGTCAGTGAAATTTGGATTTCCGATTCCAATCGTTACTGAATGGGATTTCGGATTCCTTGAGCTGTATTCCGGATTCCAAATTCCAGGTTTCTGCATTCCAGAAGCAAAAATGTTCCGGATTCCCCTACATGGGGTGAAACGTTTGACTTTGAATAACGCTTTAGTTCTTGGCCAAAAGAAAACTTTCCGCGATTAGTTTAAAACTTAGAATGTTGTTCTGCAATTCAAGTATGGCGCTTAACATTGTTCTCCCGTTCATTGCTGCACCATCGAGGGTGGCGCTAAATTCTGTGCTTCACGTTTGGCCATTCATTTGAAAATGTTTCGTGCGTTAAATATTGTAAAAGAGAACGACCCTTATTTTCACTCTTACGTTTATGTAGTGATGCTGCAGTCTTCACGACCCGTGGTAACCACACAATAGGACACAAGTATAAGAAGTTTCTGTTTCGTGAATACGAGGATGCTAGCTTCCAAACGGAAAAGCCGCACCCACCCTACCTTGGGTTTCTGGGGCCTGTACTCAAGGGAGAGGTGGGAGACACGATTGTGGTTCACTTCAAGAACAAGGCCCGTGGTAACTTTTCAGTACACCCACATGGTGTGTTTTACTCGAAGGACTCGGAAGGCGCCCTGTATGTGGATGAGACAAAGGGAGCGTCGAAAAGAGACGACCACGTGCCACCGAATGGTGAACACATATACACTTGGAGGATAACTAAGGACCACGCCCCAACAGGCGATGACGATGACTGTCTTACCTGGATTTACCATTCACACGTGTTGCCGCACAAGGACATTAACACTGGGTTGATTGGTGAGATTAAGCTTAAGAATGTTTCTGTGTTTTCGATGTCAACGTGATATAAAAAGCTAATTGATTCAAATATGATTATGGCCCTCGGAAACTTTTTACGCGTGCCAATGTCAGTATTCTCTGTGCAGCCAACTTTATGAAAACCGCCGGTGTGGTTTGTAATTGGCCACTAGAGTAATCAGCAATCAATAACTTTGTTGACTTTATCTTCGACATGAAGATTTCACTACCAATACAATCAATATAGTAACAAATGAAACAAGGTAAAATAAAAGTGAAGTAAGAGAGAAAGGAACAGCAGCAATATACATTGAACATTACCATAGAAACTTACGTGGCTATATATGTATGGCTTCTACGCTACTCGTATTTTGAATTAGAGTTCGGATTTGTAACAATTTAGACTATTTTCAATATAAGAGGAACTAAGATTTATAATAATAGTATTATAACCTCAGTAAAGTGCGTTCGAGCTGTTAGAGTCAAACCAGGTCAAGGGAACTACCATAGTTTTTATTATTGAATCAATTCCGTTATTCGAAGCTTGGGTCCAGTAGAGGTGAATACAGTTTGAGAAATAGTCCCGATTTTCGCTGAAATGTTTGAAACGTCCAGTCACGTGACTCACTTACAAAAAAGCGAGCAAGCAAGTAAGGATGGGAAACTTCTTGCCAAGTTCCACAAATATTCGAAAAGATGTTTCTTGTTGAAATGAATATCCACCTGACCAGTGACTGAGTCAAACCAATCCTCAGGTTCCCCGGCACTATCCACCGAATTATCAGTACTTTTCTGTTGCACAAAACTGAAAATAAAAGAACCGCGAAACGTTACAGAGATGAAGCCGTAATTATAGTTACCTCTTTTTTTTGCCCTTATTTTGTGTCCACAATGTCAGGTATCTTGCTGACGTGCAAAAGTGGAGCATTAGAAGGAGGAAAAACGAGAGGTGTTGACAAAGAGTTTTTAGCGTTGTTTTCTGTGCTGGATGAGAATGATAGTTGGCTGCTGGACAAGAACATTAACTACTACTGCAGTGATCCACAAGGAGTAAATAAAGAGGATGAGGATTTTATGGAGAGTAATAAGATGCACGCTATAAACGGTCATTTCTATGGAAACCTACCGGGCCTGGAAATGTGCTTAGGAGATACTGTTAACTGGCATTTGGCTGGGATTGGTAATGAAGTCGATTTGCATCCAGGTAAGATTCGCCACATTTAAGGGAATTCAAGACAGTCTTGGATTCTGGATTCCACGCCATGGATTCCGGAGTTTTTGTCAGTGGAACTTGGATTCTGGATTCAATCGTTAGTGGGATCCCGGATTCTTCGAGCTGTTCTCCAGATTCCAGATTTCACAAGCAAAAATCTACCGGATTCCGGAATCTGGTCAGATTCCCCTACTTGGGGCGATAAGATGGCCAAAGCCGCAATTTTGTAAGAACTTACACTCAGTCAAGACCATATTTGTTATTTATAAGAACACAGGCAGCAATCAATGTAATGAGCGTAAAAGGGAAAATGTACCCTGAAAACGTAGAGAAGTGGTCTGGGTCCTTTTACTTAAGTCGCTAAAGGCAAGAAGATCTATAGGTAATTAGGCACGCCACGACTAGCATTTTGACTAACTGCGGGCCAAGAAATTGTAACTAAGTAAAATTACGGTAATTAACATGTTTTAAGGTTTTTTTTTTTGGGGGGGCTAACTTCAACGTTTGAAACATGTTCAAGTGATCAGCGCGTCTTACCCGCAATCTGCTGTTACCGTCTTTCTTATTCCTGCTAGTTTTGATTTTTGATCATCTTACGTTTGTTTATTAGTTTAGGAGTGAATGATATACCTGTGAACTTCCGCCGTAGCCCGCCAGCCCGGTGCGTCCATCTCTCTAATAAGAGCGGGCTCACAACGTACTTGATGTTTAGGTTGCGTAGCTGGCTTTTTTTTTTGAAACGCTGTGAAAGAAACACGGTAAAATGGTGTGGTTTCTACTTTCCTCCTCCCCATGCCTTTGTCTCTTTTTTTCTTTTATCGTCTTTCATTTTTCTCGCTTTTTTCTTGCGAATCGTTTACCGCACTCCAATGAAACCGCCAGCTTCGCTCAACAGCTGCACAGGCTATCTTCTAGCCAAGAAACTCTCAGGCAATTTTCAGGGATTTTCAAAATTGAAATTTTACATTTTCTTTCTATCAATAGCTTATTTCCATGGACAAACTTTTACAGTCGACAACCATCGCAAAGACGTTGCTTCTCTTCTACCTGCCACTTTCGTGACGGCTTCTATGAAGGCCTTAAACCCAGGGACGTGGATGTTAGACTGCCTTGTTAACGATCATTATAACGCCGGTATGTACGCGCTGTTTAATGTAACGAAGTGCGCTGGAAAAAAACATCCAGTCCCTAGTGTAAGTGGCGGGAAGAAGCGGACTTACTACATCGCGGCAAACGAGATACCGTGGAACTATGGACCAACTGGTATGAATAATATGAATGGAGAGAGCTTGACACTGGCAGATAAGTACGAATGCCATGATCAGATTTCAATGATATAAAACTCCAGTTCTAACGCTGCGTCACTCATGTTTTATAGTTGGACTTAAGATTAACTTGACTAATTCAAATGACGTCGAACCAAAACAGAAAAAGATTTTAATGACGACGATGATAATAGAGTAATCGAAATGATAATGATAATGACACTGATAGTAATAATTTAAATTATCTTCATTTGTTCATTAGTTTCGGCACATGAAAATATCCGTTGTGCGAATCAGCAGTCGCCCCAGTGTTGGATAATGTGACAGTGTCTGCCCAACTTAACGTTGCGTGCCGCACCAAACTTAACTACTGAACCAAACTGATTCAAACGCCGGTTTTCGCCTTTTTCCGTATCTAATTCATCTGTAAATGAAGGTGCAGCTGCTGTTTTCCGGAATCAGACCTGAGGGTTTGGCCATGCTGTCTGAACTTGTCTGTTCACTTGTGTGTGTGTGTTTTTTTTTCTATTTGCTCAGCGACTCAGCCGTTCTCTTCGCCCAAGGTGTCAAGAGGATTGGAGGAACTTATCTAAAAGCGATTTACGAAGAGTACTGACACAAGCAGCAACTTTACAAGTAAAAAGAAAAAATCAGATCATCTTGGTTTCCTGGGGCCAGTCATTCGAGCGGAAGTCGGTGATATCATCGAAGTAGTCTTCAAAAATAACGTAAGAAAATAGTGATTTAGCCATTTGATTCTGGATCCAAGAAAAGGGCAATAATTTCTTCAAGGTATGTTCTTTGGCTAGTAACGGGCGATGAAGTTAACCTCTGGTACGGAACTTTTTGCGATTGCCGCGGTCTGGCAACTGGTCACTAACTAAAGAGTACGGCCCATGGCTCTTGAGAGTACTGATTGCTGTGACGGAGAAAATGTGGTATTTTGAGTAGAAATCCGCTTATGAAAGGTGTCACACGTTGTTAGGTCTCGAGTTAAATTACTATTCTGCCTTGGAACAAAAAGTTTATCAATTACAATTTAAGTCCTGCACTTATTACGTTATGGCCTCCATGTCATTGTAACTGTTTGGAAAAACAATTTATTGTTTTATTAATATATCAAACGAGAGGCACATTGTTCACCACTTTATCAGACGCTGAGATGAGAATTGTAAATTCGACGCAAAGCGGTGTATTTTTGACTAATCGCCCCATGTGGTAAAGGAACCCAAGGCAGTCTTGTATTCTGGTTTACATTTACTAGATTTCAGTCTTTTTCAGTGAAACTTGGATTCTGGATTCCAGTCGTTGGTGGGATTCCGGATTCCTTAAGCTGTCTTTCGAATTCCAAAGTCGAGGATTTCGGATTTTTACGAGGCAGGCCTTAATTTTCCCAGATTCCGGATTCCAAAAACAAAAGTTTCCCGGATTCTGGAATCCGGATTGCCTTACATTTGGCGAGACTAACTTGGAGGTGTTTGATATTATTTGGAGGCGCCCACGAGTCCTGATATTATGGTGAAATACCGCCTCGAATTTTTGATATTGGTGACTTTACGATCGGACGACGCGACGGCAGCGAAAACGTCGCTTCAAAAATGAACTTGCGTTCTTTCGGTCTTTAACGCGATTATTCCAACTCACCTACTTTGTCAAATGTATGCGAACCCTCCCGGAGTTGAATTTCGATGAACTATATTCAAGTTTAAAGAGAAAATAAAATTTCGTCCTCGCTCGTTAACGTTCTCCCTAAAAAGTCTAATCAGGCAATTTCACGTCGTAGCCGTGCAAAAACGGCAAAGAAAGGTACAAAAAAGTGAGATGCACGTGCAAAGCTGTTGTTTTGTCTACCAAATCTATTGTTATTTTTGACGTTCTCGTTGCTGTCGCGTCATCGGATCGTTCTCGTTGCCGTCCGCGTAGTTGGATCTTAAAGTCCCCCCCTAATAGGGGGGGACTTTAAGATCCAACTACGCGGACGGCAACGAGAACGTCAAAAAAACAATAGGTTTTATAAGCAAAACAACAACTTTGCACGTGCATCACACTTATTTGTTTATTTCTTTTCCCGTTTTTGCACGACTACGACGTGAAAATGCCTAATTTCGCGTTTTATGGAGAACGTAAACAAGCAACGACGAAATTTAATTTCTCTTTCTGCACTTGGACATGGTCCCTAGGAATTTAACTACAGGAGGGTTCGCCTACATTTGACAAAGTAAGTGGGTAGGAAATTGCGATGAAGACTGAAAGGACGTAAATTCACTTTTTAAGCGACGTTCTCGTTGCCGTCGCGTCGTTGGACCTTAAAGTCCCTATTACCTATCAAACGAAATGGTTTAGAAGGGGAAATAAAGGATACAAACGAGAGGAGTTTTTGAAATGATTGCCAAACAATCATTAAACATTTATTTAATTCATTTGTATTTTCTTTATAGGCTATTAATGAGTTTGAGATAAATTACTTAAGATTCGGAGTTTCTTCATTTTTCATGCAGGCAAATCACAACTACAGTATTCAACCACATGGCGTCTTCTTCAACAAGTCTAATGAGGGAGCCTTATACCAAGATCATACATCCGGGGCTGAAAAAGCCGATGATATTGTGCAACCAGGCCATATTTACACTTACCGGTGGACTGTACCCGAGCATGTGGGGCCAACAAATGCTGACGCACAATGTGTCACGTGGTTATACTATTCAAGCGTAGATCCAGTTAAGGATACTTATTCTGGTGAGTTTCGAGTATTAAGCTATTCCCTCTGAGAGAATAAACAGTCACTTGCAGAGAGTAACTCGCATACGAAGCGCTATTTTCCCGCGCTTGCATGCGGCTGCATGTTTTCCCGCTGTTTGGTAGTAGTAGGGAGCTTTAGGATCTACGACGCCCACTAGTTATTCAGTTGAAGTACTTTCCCGTGTTACCCTCGTTAAATAAAGTTGACTATTATTATTATTATTATTATTATTATTATTATTAAAACAGCGAAATCGTCACAAAAAGTAAATTCGCGCTGCTTCAAACTTATTCGCTTTTATTCGATCTCGTTCAATTTGTTAAATAATGGGGGAAGTTAATTTCTGGAGTTGAATTCTAAAAGACCGTATCTAAATTCATTAAATCGTTTTCTCGTGTTCATGTCCTTCATAAAACGTGAAATTAGGTACTTTAACGTCGTAATCGTGCAACAACAGCAGAGTAAGCCACGAAAAGGCCTGATGTACTTGCAGAGTTGTTGTTTTGCTTATCTAAACCTACTGCTTTTTTGCCGTTGGCTCGTTGCCGTGTCTCCTGAGTCTTTGCTAAAGACCCCCTTATGCCTAGTAAGCGCAGTTGCCATCGGCTCCCAGGTTTTCCGAAGTGTGTCCAGTTACTTCAATTTTGTTATTCGTTTAGACTTTCGCATAGCCATTCAAACACATATCTAACATAGTTTAGGTTTTTTCTTATGTAGGTCTATTTGGTCCGTTGCTAACGTGCAAAAAGGGATCGCTGAACGATGACAACACACAGAAAAACATCGACAAAGAATTTGTTCTACTTTTCACCGTCACAGACGAAAGTGGCTCATGGTATCATGATGAAAACAAGAAAAAAGCGCAAAACTGGCAACAGATAAATGATGGTATGCTAGAAACAATCTAAAAAATCCTAATTTATTCTATATGTCTATTGACCTGCTCCCCTCCTTTTTCTAAGGTTATGTTCACTCTGTACCGGATAGCTTTTGCGCTGGCGTGAAAGCCGTACCAGATAGGGCTTCTACTCACATATAAGAACAGTAATTTTTGGTGCGATTTTTGTAACTGAGTGAAGCTTCGCCTCGCTAATCTCGAGGTGGAGCGTCACATATCGGATAGGCTTTGTGCCACACTTTGCTGCAGTGTGAACGCCGGACCGTAGAGGAAGTGAATAACAGGAACGAGGAGTGGCATGAAATCCATAGAGACGGAAGTAAATATTCAGTAGTGAGGACTGGATTTTACTTTACCCTTTCGGCCAACCGCTCAGGCATGATGTTCGATGTGTCTGAACGATTTGTTCCAGTTTTTTGCCGTTGCTGAATGAAATGAATGAAGAGTCGTAGATGAGAGGACAACAAACGTGCCCTCTTACAACAGTAAGCACGGACGTCAGCACACAAAGGCGCCACTGGGAGCCGCTTTCAGTCCGGCATTTATGAGCTTACTGTACCCACCCAACCCATGATGTGAATGATGTGAATGTGCTGTTCACACTATATCTGATAGATTTTCGTGTCGGCACGAAAAGATATCCGGTAATAGTGTGAACAGAGCGTAAGAGTAAAAGCCCCGGGAACGTTGTTGGGCTGTGAGGGCGCCGATTCATGTTTGCTTCCAAACGAGGGCGAGACCTAGACCAGGTGCAGCTTGGGTATACGTTGAAAATTTGGTGAGGCCAAATTACCTGTTTTAATTAGCCCCTAATCGAGTGTTAATTGATCGCCAGTTTTTACTTCACGGTATTAAAGGTAGAATTCTCTTCACTTGCTGTTCGAATGAAGAACTCTTCTGCCGACTCAAAGTAGAACAAAGCTTAGTGCTCTCATTCACTAAGTGCCCTCCTTAGCTCTCGTCTTTTGTCTGTCTCCATTGAATTCACGAAACAAGAAAGAAACTGGGCCGAGTTAACTTTCGCAAAGATTTCTGGGTCTGTTGCTAGGGACAGGAGAAACAATAGCTCAAAAGCTGACCGCTGACCGCTGCAGCCGCGGTCCAAGAAACAATTGGAAAAATAAGACGCGTCTTACATAAGACGCGAACTGTACCATTTATACGAGCTTGTCTTATCTAAGACGAGAACAGCTCGTATAAATGGTTCACGTCTTATTTCTGTTCTTGACTCGTTTTCATGTGAATATTGCCCGTAGCAACGGCAATCCAACGTGGCGCGCCAAAAATTAACGCGTGCGTACTATGCGCTCGCGTCTTATGTAAGACGCGAAGGTCATGTATACGAAGTTTTTCTCGTCCTAGCTAAGACGCGTCTTATCTAAGAACAGGTGTTAAGGGCTGTTCTAAAATAAGACGCTTCTTAGCTGAGCTGCGTCTTATTTTAGACGAAATGTGCCGTTTATACGGAAAGTTCGCGTCTTATTTAAGACGCGTGCTATGTAAGACGCGTCTTATTTTTCCTCGTATAAATGGCCCTATTTTGGCTCAATTGTCTTCTCGTTTCTAAAGTGGCGAATTGATTTGTGAACATTTCAGAAGATGAAGATTACCTCGAAAGTAATAAAATGCATGGCGTCAACGGATACTTGTACGCCAACCTACCCGGATTACAGATGTGCCTAGGCGATAAAATATCCTGGCATGTGATCGGCCTTGGAAATGAAGTGGACATGCACACAGCCTACTTTTACGGAAACACCTTCCTGCATGATGGGAGTGTAAAAGACACACTCAGCTTACTGCCAGGTCAGTATTTAGCCGGAGAGCTCCAGCTCCTAGCAACGACAAGAGCCACTTAAGTGTGAAATTTAAGGGAATGCTTTTGGAGTTGAATTCATGGGAAATTCGCAGCCAAGTTTAGATAGGGCAAGAATAGTTTGTCGCTGTGTATATGTTGTGGCTCAATTTTATCCTTAGTTTAAATTTTATTTTCCTTGGTTTTGGTGTATGGTGATGTATGATAACGAGTTTAAAACAAAGGGTAATAAAATTTAAACAAGGATAAAATTGAACCACGACATATACGTCCGTAGCAGAGCGTGCAAAAGGGGGAAATGGAAAATCCGTTACTTTTCGCGTTTTCGAGCGACGTGGCTGTAGCTAATTACATCGCATCTTCTGGTTCAGTGATACATTCATGATCTCAATCGATAGAATTTTCCTGTATCGACAATACTCTGTATTTGCAGTTTATAGAACACGGAACCAGTGTTATGAAAGGATAGCGTCTCGTAAATCTAATGAGGAAGTAATTTCCTTTGGACGAGGAACCTAAACTTGGTAGAGAGCCATCAGACGAGTACAAATCTCTGTTTAATTATCTTCAATTTTGAGTAAGAACATTCATTGTTTGGTGTCAAGAGTACAGAGAAAGAAATCCTTATAGCTACAAAAATTTTCACTCTATTTTAGGCGTATTTGCCACTCTAACAATGACGCCTGATAACGCGGGAGAATGGGCGCTAGTCTGTCGGACAAATGATCACTACTCTGCGGGCATGCAGGCTAAGTACACCGTCAGAAGCGATTGTGGGAAAGCTCCTACCAAAAAGCCGTCTGGGAAAGTTCGTCGTTACTATATTGCTGCAGTTGAGGTGGAATGGGACTACGCGCCCTCTGGTCAGGATGTGCTGGAAGGAGTGCCGCTGGAAGAGAGCGAGTCAGTATACATGCAAAGCTTATTTGGGTAGTTTTAAATTGCGGGTCGAGTGTGATTCGCTAAAAATCCCGCGCTATTGTTTTTGGACCAATCAGAAGTACGACAGGGCCTGTGCGCGTTTTCTTATGCGTGATGCCAGCTAGGGTCTGGCTCACTAAGTTTCTCGCATTCTAATGACCCTCTTCCATCTACAGTTTCCCTATAACTAGTTATAGCACTGCGAGGGTATCCAAACATGCGGCGGGATACTGCCGCTAAGCGAAGTTTCGTTAGCCTGCAAACGCAGTCGTGTCAGTCCGCGTTCGTTGTGCTAAAGATTTCGTCATAACTCGACTGTGGGTACTTTTCTCTTTCAGTGAGGCAAAAACATTCACAGCAGGAGGAGACGATCGGATAGGTCGAAAATATAAAAAAGTTGTGTATCGTGAGTACACGAATGCACAGTTTAAAGAGCAGAAAGAACGGACCGCAGCTGATAAGCACTTGGGTGTACTGGGTCCAATTTTACACGCTGAAGTTGGAGATACGATGGTGGTAGTGTTCAAGAATATGGCGTCAAGTGGAATGAAATTCTCCATGCACCCGCATGGCTTATATTACAGGTATAAAGCAATGTGCTTTTTGTCTTATTTCTTGGATGATGTTTTTTTGATATCCGGAATAATCAAGGTCGAGGTAAGTGTTATCAGCCGAAGCCGACGGCTGAGGCTGATAACACTAACCGAGACCTTGATTATTTAGGATATCACAAAAACCGCGCGAATCTAATAATTGTTTTATTATTATTACATTGTTTTGAAGAAAATAACGACAAACACACCATCGCAAGGAACCTGAATTGATATTGTTATTGGAAATTATGCATTGCGCGCGCAACCTACAGACTAGTAAATTATCTGTCAGCAGATAACTAACTAATCTGCAAGTTGTGCTGATTTCGAAAATTAGCAGTAGGCTAAGAAGACAGATAGTGAGTACAATGTATAATATCATAGGTGACGAACTACTCCTTAATTTTGGCGCGAAGTTTCAGCGTTAATTTGTAATTTCACATGTGAAATTACAAAATTGCCGTGGCAACCATCCGTACGTCTCAGTGTCAAGATGGCGACTGAAGTTTTAAAATGCTGTGAATGAAGATGTCAGGCACAAAAAGACGCTTTAGAAAACCTGAACACACAAGAGAACATCAAGAAGGATTCTAACAGATATTTTGCTGAAACTTTATAAGCCAAATTTAAGGTCTAAACATTTGAGAGAGTGGAGTTCTCATGAGTTCTCGATCGATACGATCCAGGATAAACATGTCAAAAATCTAAGATTGCTAACATAAGTCGTCACCCATGATATTAATAGGTAATCAAATGGTATACTCGTGAAATTAGGGAATAATTTCACTTGCGTTTTGTCCAAATCCTAATAATTTCCCTCGCCTTAAGGCTCGGGAAATTATTAGGATTTGGACAAAACGCGCGTGAAATTATTCCCTAATTTCACTCGTCACAATTTGATTACACATACTAATAAACTGAATAATTATTAGTGAATGCAGGAAAGTCCTGGTCTTGAAGACACACTCGCTTTTCAGCTTCGGCCTATGTAAGGGATTCCGGAATCCGGAAAATTTTTGCTTGTGAAATCTGGAATCTTGGGCTTTGGAATCCAGAATACAGCTCAAGGAATCCGGAACCCTCCTAACAATTAGGAATCCAGTACCTGGAATCTGGAATCCACGGTGTGGAATCCAGAATCCAAGATGTTGTTTTCTAATTGCTTTAGTGAATCAGAACAAGAAGAGCATAAAAAGTTGACGATCCGGCGTCATCGTTAAGCCATTATCAAGACTATATCTAATTAAATACATTCGCATAATTTGTTTCTTAGATAGTCTTGATAGCGGCGTTACGATGACGCCAAAATTACGTCGACTTTTTACGCTCTTATTTTCTCATTGCGATGTTAAGTTGCTGTTATCGTTCTTTTCTTTTATTTCTAGCAAAGGCTTTGAGGGATCAGACTACAAAGATGGCACAACTGGCAAAGAGAAAGCTGATAACAGCGTACCTTCTGGTGAAGTGTTTACGTATTCTTGGGAGGTCCCGGAACGCGCTGGGCCCGGAACAGATGGCCCTTCCTGCTCCACATGGGCCTATTACTCAGATGTTAACCCAATAAAAGACACAAATAGTGGTCTTGTGGGTCCACTTATAGTCTGCAAAAAGGTGAGGAACAATTGATTGGCTGATGTCTTACTCTGACTTAGTTAATTATTATAAACAGAAAGTTACCATTATTGTGTTATATTGATCAGGGACATTTTTTTATGGGAACATTTTTGTTTCACGTCTAAAGTAAGACGCATTTCTAAATACCCGATCAAAAGGCGTGACCGGCCTGTGGTAGCTCGGTTACTGCATGCCCTGATTTTCAGACAATCCAGGATGCTCTAATGATGCTAGTTTAATAAAAGGTTGTAATGTAATTGGAGTGAGTAACAGACAAAAAAATCCACCCGAAGGATTTCGCTTATTTTATAGCCTTCTACATCTACATTCTATATGTAGAATGTAGATGTAAAAGGTTATAAAATAAGCGAAATGCGGAAGGTGCAACATGTAAAGAAGGTTATATTATAAGCTGCTGTTTGGTGAAATAATTTTTTCGTATGTCATTTTAATTTATTATTGTATTACAGCAGGCTCGGTAAACCCTTGACTTTTGCGAAAAAGAAACCTTAAATTGAATTGACTTATCTGTACAACACCATAATAGAGAGGTGTTATGGATGTTAAACGGTTGGGATGTTCCTTAGTCCAGTTCTGGCCCCCCTCTCTCTATCACACAACGCCGACGTTGCGTGGTAGAGAGAACATAGACTAGATGTTCCCCTCCGGGCTATTACAATTTTTCCTTGGGCGTTGAGCTCCACTCCTCCTTTGCGCTTTCGTTCTTAATTCTATTAGGAAGTTACATGAAAACAAATGAGGGTAAAGGGATTTACCCTCTTGATTTTATGTATGAGCAAGCAGGCTTGCTGACTTATTGTTGTGAGCTTTCTCACGCTAATCTTTGTGTTTCCTGTGGTTCCTTGGGTGTTCTGTCCCTATTTAGGCTTTACAATCTAGATTTGTGTTTGTCAGGATGATTTTTGAAAGTGAAGAATGATCATCGCAGTAAATTTTCCAATTTAAGCAATTGGAAAGAAGAAGCCTGAAAAAAAGCTGATTTTTTTTCAGGCTTCTTCTTTCCAATTGCTTAAATTGGAAAATTTACTGCGATGATCATTCTTCACTTTCATCTACAACCGCAGTTCAGAAATGAATTATTTCATATACTTCACATCAGGATGATTTTTAGCAAGTATGTCCAGCCTTATCATCATATAAAATCTTTGTTCAAAATTGTAACACCCTTGGTGCGTCATTCTAATTGCGCTAAGTTTGACACATTGTGGCGCGCAAGAAGTTGCAAATTATGTTCGTTTGACTGTAAACTGGCCAATAATGACCCAAATCATAAAAAAAATCGTAGCTGTAGGACCCTGCCGGGCTCCTGTAGTCCGTTATTCCACAACTGTTAACTGCTGTATAAGATGCCAAGGGTCTGTAGTTTAAGCAGTATTTAAATGACAGTTCATCGTTTCTCAGATGATGTTTTGATGCCCAGCATCTGCTCAGAGCATTATACTTACAATTTGTAACTTCTAGTTTTACACTTTATCAGGGTACTCTGAAGGATTCATATACACGAAAGGATGTAGATCGTGAATATGCGCTTATGTTTACTGTTCTGGATGAGAATGAGAGCTGGTACCTTGACAAAAACATCGACACTTACTGCAAAAAACCAGGAAATAAAGAGACTCTTAAGGGAAACGAAGACTTCAAGGAAAGCAACAAAATGCACGGCATCAACGGGTTTGTGTTTGGCAACTTGAAAGGACTGGAAATGTATCAGAAGGAAAAAGTAAACTGGTACCTGGTTGGTATTGGAAACGAGGTTGATATGCACACGGTTCACTTTCATGGGCAGACTTTCCTTCATGTAAGTAACATCATAGAATTAATTTACAATTTATAACGGATTATAATAGAAATTAAGACCAGGGATCAGATTAATAACACTTTTACACGTGTAATTTACAAGTGTAGCCATTGTTTTAGAGTCTGAAAACAATAGCTATACTTGTAAGTTACACCTGTAAAAGTTTTGTTAAATTGACCCCTGTTTCAGTGCTACTGTTGTTCTAAGCTGGCTCAGCTTCAGCGCGATTCTAGCGCGTGCATGGCACGACTTGTTTTCGGACGTTGAATTTAATTCAGTAAAATAGCTGTTGCGGCTGTTGCGGAATAAAAAGCGGATTAGTGAAAATTTATTAATGTATTTTAATGTATTTATAATTTATGAAATGAGTTCGGCACGGCAGTAGCATGACGTTTAAAACAGGCCTAACCTTGCTTTGATTTACAAGGCTGAAAAAATTCGAATTGACATGGAAATCAGCATGTAGATTTTGTTTTCATCAGTTTCATGTCAGTTCTCACTGAGGCCCAGACCTGCATTTCGATAATCCATAGGCTGAAATGTCGTCTTTGCGACCTGTGAATTAACCAAGAGCGCAGACTTCTGACTGGGAAGGGAGGAGGAGGATAGGGAGAGAAGAGAAGATCTTCTCAGAATCAAGCATACCTTTAACAGTTGTTTTTCTTCGGCAGAAACGTGTTGCATACCATCGTGAAGACGTGTATGATCTTTTCCCGGGAGTCTTTGCAACCGTGGAGATGATTCCTGACAGCGTTGGAGTCTGGATGCTGCACTGTCACGTGAATGATCACATGGTTGGCGGAATGGAGACAACTTATACTGTTAAGGGTAAGTTAAGTTTGTCTCAGTGAACGAACTGCAGCGCACATGTGTCAGGCCAGAACAATTCGGTCCTTTCTAAAACGGCGTTAGCCACGTGTAAATGATACCTGGGTGCTCTCTGGTTTCCAGAACGCACGTTTCCGGGAAAATCATCTGAGGAGAAGCGGTCAAGGAAAGGCTTTTCTCGGAAAGCGCAAAAAAAGAGAAAAAAACGATTAATCTCCATATTGAGCTCTCATTTTATTACTAGTAATAACCGAAGGTTAGACGGAGTGCGGGCGACAGCGATCGAAGGTCAAAACGCTTTCGCTCCAACGCTGTGCTTTGCCTAAATTTCACGTGACAGATAGTTAAAACACGCATGATCAGATTACGAGTGATGGAAGGTACAAACGCGCGTGGTAAAATAGCGTTCTGTACATTCCTTTCATTCTTAGTGGGAGTCCAAACGAACGCTGGCTACGTACATGCGACGCATGCGTCATAACGTCCTGGCCCGGGTTGCTCGAAGCATGGTCAGTGCTTACCAGCGTTAAATACCATGGAAACCTATACATTTTGATACCTCTTAACCAACGGTTAGCGCTAACCAGGCTTCGAGCAACCGGCCCCTGGACGTTAGGATTGCGGGCTCCTCTTGTCGCCCGCAATAATGTACATAGATATTAATGACAAAACTGTATTAATTAGTAATGATTTGGAGAAACATAAACATAAAAAAACTAACGAAATAAAGTTCCGACGTTTCGGCGAGATCATGACGCCATTATCAAGGAATGGAAATAAATGCGAGTTCAAATGATTTTTGAATACTTTAACGCCATTTGAACTCTTATTTATTTCCATTCCCTAATAATGGCGTCATAATGTCACCGAAATGTCTGAACTTTATTTCGTTAGGTTGTACATGATAATAAAACTGTGTTAATTCCATGAATTCATAGATGGTTCACTGAAGCCAACCACCGATTTCATTGGTCCATTCAGTACCGCAGGCTCACCTTTGTCCAGCAGTTATATCATCTGCTTGCTGATAGCTGTTATTGTGACTGTATTTTGAATGCTGTTTTGGAGAGGAAAGTAGACAGTAGATTAGCTTTTAATAGAATTCTTTTATAATAGGTAGCTGACCATATGGCCCTTTTGATCAGACTGTGAACTCACGTGACCGACTGAGCGACCGTATGACTAACTCATCAAAGAATGAATATTTGAAAGACTGAACAACTGACAGACCACCGTAAAAACCTCCGTCTCCCGTACGGATTGGTTAATAAGGTATAATAAACCCACTCCTGCTGATAATCGGATCTAAATGTAGTCGAAAAAACTGACCGACCTTCCAACTCCGCGAGGACGACCGTGAGAGACTTACTCATGATATAACCGCCATCTTTGCAAGCGCGTGAAGACTGTTGGGATGGATGTAAACAATGTCGTGTGGTCATACGCAGAGCCGGGCTGGACAAACAATCTTTCTTTTTAAGATATTAAATTTTCGGGCTAGCGAGCGTGCTGTTTTTCTGGCATGTAGTTGCTATCTTTGATTTTATAAGCAGTGGAAGACTGGGCCAGAACCCATTTACTCGTGCAGCACAACTCACGCGAATCATTGTAGTGCTTGTACGATCACCATAAAACGACTGCATGAGAGGCTCGCTCAGGCTAAGAATCAGCCAATAAAATCTGCCAGTACAAGCAACGCCGGTCCGAGTTTGTTTATTCCTCCCATGAATATTGGAAAACTCGACGGTATAAAAGTTTTATGGATACGGTCTCTTCGTTCCATGGTCAGGTCATTCCATTTTATAGTCAGGTCGTTCCACAGTTTCAGTATAAAACTCGATGAGATAAAGAGCGATTGTTTTTGCTTTTTGGCTTAAAGAACGCGAGGTATCCATATAAGTAATACCTTTATTTCTGCTTCTGGCTTTAAGACTTGTGAAAAATTCTGGCTATATTGTGGAACGATCCTACTCTTAAGTGAAAGATCTGGCTTGGAACGATCTGACCATGGAACGAAAAGACCGGATAACATTTGTTTTCATAATTAGTTATTTTCACCATAACGACTGTACGACGAACCGCCTCGTGCTGGACAGCGAATATCCTACAGACAGACCATGTGACCATTGGATTTTAAGGTGGTCAGTCTACATGCAGAAGAGGTTTTTTTGTAGAATATTTATCTAGGAACTAAAAGACGCTTTTTTATGTTGAATGTTTTGGAATCAGACTGTTCTTAGGATGAAGCTGCAGCAACGAAAATAGCTTCCTGAACTCTTTAAAACACGAGTTTTTACTTCGAATACTGAGTTCCTTGATTTTAAGACAGTACAATTTTATTTTGCTCAGAAAAGAAAAAAAAAGAAGCAAAGAGCGCTTAATGTATAGAAACTTAATGTATTGATAGTGAAAAAAAAAGTAGTAAAAAGGAAAATAAAAATGGAAATTTTAGAGAAACCGTTTCGTATGCGTTGTGTTTCTGTCGACTGCATGGTCAAAGTCTGGGCCTAAATTTCTCTTTTGGCCAATCGCTACGTACTTCATTTGAGGTGAATGTGAAATCTGTGTCTTCTTTCTGTGCGCGATGTTTATGAACCCAGCTTTGGATACTACTTCCGTTGGAAAAATTTAAAACACTTGTTGTTCAAGACTAACTTAGGTAGAGATCTCCTTTTTTTATCGTTTCTTTGCCCTACTTAGTGAAAATGGTTTCAGTGGCAGCTGTTTTAACATTCCGGTTAAAAGTGTTGACGAAACCTTGGCTTTCTCATCAGTTCTTTCGCAAATGTTTATCCACTTCTTACCTACTTAGTACCACAGAACCCAATGGCTCACGTTTCTTTTGTCTTTTCAAAGATCTGCTGCGAAAGTTCATTTTGCCCCTAACATGTACTTTTCTCTTTTATGGTAATTTTTTCTTCTTACGAATACACAAAGGTTTAAATGAGTCATTTATTTTAAAGTCAGTTTCGTGGATTAAAATTATGTAATCACAAGGAGTGACATGTGCGGCTTTTAACAAAGAGTTCCGAGTTTGTTTTTGGCTGGAGAAAAGGTAACAGACCCTACTTTCGTTATTGATAGAAATGTTTTGTGTCAGCTTTATTCTCTTTATTTGTTTTGAGCAAGAGTGTTGTTTAAGGAAGGGTCATTACATGCCGCTTTTCCACAAAGACTATTTAATCAGTCAGCATTTGAGTTTGTTTTAAGTGAATCTGATGATTGGTCATGAATAATCCGCCACTGTCAAAATCTGCCCAAAGTCTAAGTACGATTCGGCAGTTTAAGATTGTATTTTCCGCTGATATTGTACATTCTAATACAAGCTAATACAAAAATACGAGCTTGAAATCGGTTTAAGTGGGACACTTAACGTTCCGCAACACACTGGCTGTTTTTCATGAAGACGTTGAACTTTACTAATGCTAGTGAGGGCTTCAATGGAGCTGCCTCTAATTCTACTTCAAGTCTACAACTACTACTAGCCTTCGCTGTGTATAAAACGATTTTATCTCCTGTTACGGCGATAGGCAATGGTCTTCTGGTTGTCACCGTGTTAATTGATCCTCTGCGATCCTTTCGTAGCACATCATCCATGTTTCTGTTAACAATGTCCGCTGCGAATTTCTTAACAGGAACGGTTGTGGCGCCAATTTTTGCATTTTTGGAATACAACACTTTTCTTGGACGGAAAGCTTCGCTTCAAATCGCTAATGTTGGTTCCTCGTTTTCTCTGCTTTCATTCAACGTTTCCTTTGGAATGGTATTCGCCTTGGCTTTTGACAATTTTATAGCAGTTTTGCGACCAACAAAGTACAAAGCGTGGATGACGAAGCAACGAGCTAAGACCTGCATCGCTGTGATTTCGCTGAATGCACTAACATTTGCAATCCTGTCGCATGTCAATGTACCAATAAATACTGTTCTACAAATTGATCTACACTTTAATTCGACAGTAAACTCAACGCTTCTTGTTGCCTCTTATATTTTACTATACACTGCCTTTCGAAACCACACAAAAAGGTCAAAAGATCTTCGACAAGAAAACAAACAGGCCTCGGGGAAACTCTTGGAACTTCAAAACAAGTTCCGCAGGGTTATATTCATTTTTGTTCTCTTGTCCACTGTGCCGGCGATCCTGTCCACCATTTCTTTCCACATCGAGGCTTACTGCGTCCCCTGCCAGAAATACCAGACCATCGTCATTGTACAGCGAGTTTGTCTTCATTTAATTTTCTTGAAATGTGCCTTGGATCCCTTTGCGTTCGGCTGGAGGCTTTCACGCAATAGGCAAGCCCTCAAGAAGATCGTCTGCTGTCATCTTCGGACTGTGAGACATTGGAAATTCTGATCGTGAAAACTTTTAAGCCTAGCGGGTCTTTTTTCAAGAATTTTTTTCCTTCTTATAAGGACTCACAAGGACTCAAGATGTGTGTTGATTAAGATGTTATGATCAGTATGGAATTTCTGCGCTCGTTTCTCTGACGTCATTTCGCTTGGAACCAGTGGCAGCGTCGCGAAATGTCGGCTGGTTTCTTAGGCTGGTCAAAAATATTCCTGAAAATGTTATGCAGTGTGGAGGAAAATGCAACCATGAATTGACGCGTATCAACAGAAGGTCAATCCCGCAATTCGCCGTATCACTGCTTAAAAATCTCGCTCTTAACACTTTTGGCTTTTTATGATAATGAATCTGTACACATCGCCATTTGAATGTTTAGGTACAGATCTGGAAGTCTGATCAGTTAACATCACATAACATAAGAGTATTTGAGATGAAAAAGTCTTTTTCAAAGCGTTTGAATCTGCCTGCTGTCAGGAGCGGCCTGCTGGTGTCCATCCTTTCATATAAATTCAAAATAAGTTTTCGTTCTGAACACGAGCCGATTACCCTCCCACTGGTTCGCTTTTAAAACAGTTATTTTCATTATAGTGATTGGCTGTGGACTGGACCTCCTTTTGATCAGAGGTTTAATACTTCAAATCTGCGTGTTATCTCACAGCGAGCCCAGAAACACAACAGCAAATTATAAGGATTTTGGATTCATCGTAAGATAAAAAAAGAGTCATGTCTCTGTGTTGTTTGCTAAAATGACTTTTAAAGGACAGGAAACAGCAAGAGAACAACACAGGGACATGACTCTTATTTTTACCGTATCATCGATCTTACGGTAAATTCCGATAAAATCCTTATGATTTGGCTTTGAGTGGGCTGTTGTGTGTTTGGGTGCCCTGTGGTTATTTCAGCCAATAACAGTTTGTGAATCGACTTCGAGAATACAGCTTCGACACTCGGTCGTTATAAACCTGCTTTATTAATGCCTGTTTCTGAACTAGTATTAATCGTAAAGTGAGAATGGCTGAGATTGAAGTGATATACAACTTGTAAAAATCTGACAGCTGCTTTATATTGAATAAAGTATCATATTTTCTGGCCGAATGACCAGCAAAAATTAAAGTGTAACATGTACGTTGTACATACTGTCAACTTATAGAGACACACCATTTGCGAAGAATCTAACTTGGTTGTGGACTGAATTAACAAGACGGAGAGTAGCAGGAGTTAAGGAATGAATTAAATTATGGCGTTCGTAGATGTAAGAACAATCACAGAAGAAACGAAAAGAAGCAGCATCGGATGTCTGATGGACAATCGCATTTGGCCTAAGGAAAAAACAAGAAGAGAATGAATGATAGTGTAAATAACTGACTGAAAAATAGAAACTTGCTGTAATGAAACACAGTGGTAATAGCAAAAAACAAAGAAACAATACAGAAAACGAATAGGAAGAACCAGGTTCTCTAATCAAGAAACATTTTAATAGTGCGATAAATTAAAGAGTTAATTCTTTGATTCAGAATAGAGTTTACTCTTTCAGAACCGTTCACGCACCGAAAGAAATGCCTGCAATGAAAGCTTACTATATTATTTACTAACCTGCTTTAAAGGAGGCTTTGAATCCTCTGTAAGTAGTAGTGGTGTTACTGTCAGTCTTGAAGTGTACCCAGACCATGTTACCCACGCTCTGTATTGTGCCTGGGTTATTAGTGCCACATACAGGTTTGGACAGAATTACCCCATACTCTCCTCTAAGATCGGCGGGGTCGGTAATTGGTTCGTTTGCGTAGGCTTCTCGGACTTCCAGGTAGTCATTCTCGCAGTTTGTAGTTTGCTCCAGTTCGAATGTTGAGTCGAAATTGATTTGTACCTGGTGTTCTGGAGGAACGATTAAAAACCAACTCCAAGCGAAACTTGCAGGGTAGTTTTTGATGCCAAATTTTGGGGTGCTAAACTCGATGGTCTCATCTTCAGATGCATTTAAGACGCTCTGAGCACCAACTACAAGAGAAGCGATAGATAAAGACCGTAATCCTGAAATTGAGGCCATGTTCACACGAATTAATCCGGATAGTTTTGCAGGGCGGTCTTTCGTTGACATGACACCAGTGCCAAAATCCGCTCACCGAAACCGCGTCTTTTCGAAACCGCTCTCCAGAGTGGGTTTTCGCCTTGTTTGCGCGAATTAGGGCAAAAATATGAAGTTATGGGTATTGTTTAGTGTTTTATAGAATCCGGGCATTCGTGTGAACAGTGCGTTGAACCCCTCTGGAGAGAGGTTTCAAAAAGATCAGGTTTTGCTGAGCAGATTCACTGGTTTCATGTAGACAGAAGGCCGATTCATGTAAAAAACAAACAAACAAACAAATGTATTTAGAATTATCCGGATTTGTGTTGACGGGGCCTTAATTAATTACTTTGCTGATCTCACCATGTTCATTACGAGGAACCCACCATGGGTTAGGTTGAGTGCAGTGAATGAGTCTGTTAGCAATTAACAGAACATTTATAACAATTCATCAATTTACGGGATTCCTCGTTAGGTAGTTTTAATTAAAGATAGTTGAATGCCATCGAATTCAAGACATTACGCCACTCAACGGTCAACAGGAAGTACGGCTGGACGGGCGAACACCAGGAATCTGGGTCGTAAATCTGCGGGCCGGGGGTAAATTTAGCAGGAAGTTCAACTACCGATAACAACTTTTTATCTTGTTTTTGTTGGTAGTTCTATAGGTATGAGTGTAACTTCGTCTGTTGCACATTTCCTTCTCAGGACTAGTCAGTGTCAAGTCCAGTTTTTAGGGTGACTACTTTCGCCTTACGCGCTATCGTCCGGGGCTATCGTTCCTGTTTTAAAAAATCTCTTTCTCGGCCTAGTTCCCTAGAATTTACTTAGCGACTCGACGACTTGTCCAACCGTACCACTTCAATCTGACGCCTGATTCTGGCGGTTAGCCAGACGTTAGATTTTATGAAATTCTCCAGAAATTCTCCTTTTTGTGTCTCAAGAAATCACGAATCAGTGACAGTTTTCTATCAATTTTTGAAAAATATTTTGGTTTCCAGCTTATTGAGTTGGTTAAGTCAGAGGAGCAATTGTCAGTGGTAATTTAGTTATTACTTACACGTCGAATTAGACTTGACGATGTAGGAGATATTGATTCCTTTGTAGCGAACAGTATCATCAGTTACCACGCGTATAAAGATATTATCTGAATAATCTACGCTCCGAGTGGGTCCTTTCCCTCGTAACTTGTTGCTATATTCTAAACTGGAACGACTGAATCTTCCACACTGATTTTGCTGACTAACAAGGTCGTCGTAGCTTTCTCCAACTATTGCAAAATCACATTCACAATTTCTGCACTCTTCAAATTCAAAGCTAAAAGTGAAAAGTAAGATAACATGAAACTAGCCCGACTATAGCTACTTCAGGGACAGCGGAACATGAGGGCTGGCTGGGCTATAGCCCCACCGTTAATTTCGCTTGTTTACTCCTCCACTTCCTGATCAAGCCACTGCAGCTACGGGTGAAAGATTATTTACAATGGCACGCAGAGTCAAAACCTAACTGCGAGCAAAGATGATCCAGCAGAGATTATGTAACAATGTTGTAGTCTTAAATAGTCTAAAGTAGGCACAAGACTAGAACTGACGCTGTGTGGTGTTATTTGAGAACTGGCCTTAATATTGATTATGTTTTAAATGTACGTTTGTTGTGCAGAAAACTAACAGAATGGTGATCAAAATTGGACAAAATTTTCTAAGGATTGGTAGAAATAAACGCGTTTCCAGTGATTTCAAAAGCTCTATAAATTTCATGTCATTAGACACCCGCTAGATAACTCGCGACTTCGGCTCTCGTTGAACTCGCAGTACGCGTAAGCTAGCCTCACCAATCCAAAATATGCTTAGCGGCCCCTGTACTTGTATAAAGCACTTGATTAAATGCGGGGAACTTATCTGTATGATGGGAGGGAAATTTGTGGTAGGCTGATAAATTTGTCTTCAAATATAACTCCATTCTCGTCCCTAGAGCCTCCAGGGGGGCTGAGCACAAGGACCAGGAGACTCAGGGGACACAGGATTTGAAAGTCCTAGATTTTAGGACTTCCGGTCATTTCCGAATCAAAAGTAAGTTGGAGGATTCTCTTTTAAAAGCTTTGAATAACCTAAATTTACAGTCATTGACACTTGGGCAAGAGCAAGTGCCCGCTACTAGAAACGTTGTAAAAAATCCGAGGTGACCGGAAGTCCTGAAATCTAGGACTTCAAATCCTGTGTCCCTGGAGTTCCCCAGAGCCTCCTGGTCCTCATACTTAGGCCTCCAGGAGGTTCTGTGGACGAGAATGATATAATTATATAAGTAGTGAATTGGCCGGGAGAATTGTAACTCTCTGGGAAATTCGCGACAACCTTCATCTTTTGATTTGACCACTGATGATGCGCACCTGTAACTTTAAACACAACATCGTGGCCCACATCTCTTGACAGTCTATTTTAATAAATATGGTATTGTTATTGCTGTTGGAATTCAGAGCCTTTTTTTTAATAAGTGAAGGGCATATAAAAAGAGGATTACTTTCGGATTTTTATGATTTTTCTATGCTTCGCAGCTAGAATCGAAAGTTAAGTTTATCTTACGTGTGATATGTCATTCCGTAGCCGAAGTAGGGCTTAGGAACCTCAATCCTCCAACATTTTGTCTCGTTTGCTCCATAATTACCAGACTCTGGATACACGAAATGCCCACTTGTGGTGCCTGTTATGTTTGTAATGCCATTAGGGCAAGCTATAGCGAAACAAAAAAAAGGAGATACTTATTTTCTATGACAACCAAGCGGCGTATTGCTTGTGAAATAATAGCTGCTTTTAAGCGTTAACAGAGCGACGAAAGTTTGGCAGCGAGTTCCCAGCGATTGTACCCATGGGCTAATAGCTGTAGTATGTAGTTCATGTAAGACTTCAAATAATGTCCTAACCAATTCCCATTGGGGGCTGGGTCAATTTGTTTTGGGGGTTCGTTGGAATTCGAGGGGGTGGGGGTAATAAAAAAAGAGAGAGTCCCTGGATTTTATATCTCCAGAGTTTGGCATCTATGATTACGTCAGTCTTCAATGTTTACGACAACGTTCCCCGCGAAAGCGGGTTCAAGTTTTTCCTTCCCTTGGGCAATTTATCGCTAAGTGACCGCAAACATGAATTATAAGTGATCAAACCTCAGAGCGAACCCAACCCAAGCTATTTCCCCACAGGGAGCCTTGGAGAAGACGTCTAGTTCGACCGCGCCTGATACAGTTTAAACATCTAGACCAGCCCGTCCTCTCAGGGTGAAAAAACCCCAGGAAGCGCTCGCGATTGTTCCGTCGATCACCCTAGGTAGCCCGTCAGTCTCAATTCGTATCAAAACCGGTGACATGATACAATTTCCTTTTGCTTGTCAGTATAGTGATGCAAAAGTCTCTCTTTGTTTTCAGGAAGCAGTAGCGGGCTTTCGTTTGGGCAAAGTCGAAGAAAACGGTGCATTTTGCCTTCAAACTGTTACATTGTCAATTTCACCATTTTCAGCTGTCTCTGTTTTCCTCTATTCACTTCTTTTGTATGTTGTTTTATTTGCTTTCTGTTTTTTCTTCCTTTTAGTCACACATATGTGTCCCGCCTTCCTAAGGAAAGACAAGAACGCTCTTAAAACTTGGTAGTCTCGCTTGCTTGGAGATAAGATAAGAAATAAGACGCTCAAAAGCGTTGACTCCATCTTGCTTGAAGATAAGGTAAGACATGAGGAGTCAATTGATTCTTAAAGAACCTGTGTCCGGGCGTGGAAGTCATAGGGGCCATGTGGGGAAGGAGAATAAAAATGTTACCTAGCCAGGTTACACAGTAACCATTGAATGCCTTTGGTATATACAATAGAAACGCCACACCGTAGATACCCTTCTTCTTCTTCTTCTTCTTTTGTTAGCCGTCGACAACAAAAGAATACTAAACTACAAAAAACTTACACTAAAAAATGCAATAGTTTTAAATCTAAAGTGAAATTTCCAATGATGTCTAGGTAATTATACTTCCACAATCAAAGGCAATATGAGGCAAAGAGGCGAGACCTTGCGAATTTATGTCACCAAGGAAACATCAAGGAAGACGTTAGTATGAAAAATAAAAACATAATCAATTTAATACATACAACAAAGTGAATCTGCCATAAAACATCGATTCCTTAATTTACGGGAATTTAAATTCACTTGCTTTCGAACTCTTCGCTTTTGCAACAACGTGGCTTCCTACACGAAACAGGGTTTTCCTAGTTGCTATAAGTTTTTCGTGCCCTTTTTTATCGACGGTCTAGTAATCTTCAGAGTATTTACTTTTTAAATCGCTTTCGGCGAAAGGTGATCAACATGGCCCTTCATTTAAAACATCGTCGAAAATAAACCGCATACTCATCACAAGACTCATTTGCACCAGAAACTCTGTTTGCACACAATGAAAGTTTACGTAGCCTCACCATCAAAGTTTTGCTCATTTCAAATTTTTCTCTTTTTAGACCACTGAAGTATTCACTTATATTCCAAAGCAATTAACGCTTTTCAGCAATAGAATTCGTGGAACGACCCGTTCCGAAAAGCATTAATCTAAAATTCCCTTAGTAAGCTTTTCCATGCATGGCTTTCGTCACGCCGAGATACTTAACCTTAGTTTCAACCGTCTCCGCTAGGGACCCCTCTCAGGCACCATGACGACCATTTGGCACGGACACTCGAAAAAAAAAGCGGTTGCATTTTCAGAGTCTTGTTATGCTAAAGCAAGCTCAACTAATAGTAATAACTATAAAAAAAAAGACTGTAAACAGTCTGGTGTGTGACACTACTTACTGGAGTCAGCGGTCCCTTTTTCAAAGGTAAGCGCCAAAGCTGTGCAAAAGAAAAGAAATCAATCATACTGTTAGAAGCATTCAAAATGAAATGATCATCGTAAACTAAAATTAGAACCTGCTGCGATTATCAACTTATCAAAAGCAAAAATTATAGTAAGTTGCATGTTAATGTTCAGCGCTTCTGGCAAGGCGTTTCATTCTGTACTGAACATTTTTTGCACACTACGTGCTAAGGAATGTGCTAAGTTCCAATTTCAGAGAATTGTTAAGCGAAATACATACTATTCTGTCTGGTCGAACTAAATACAGTTTTAAATGCAGAGAAGATCATCACAGTTTAAAAATTCAACCTTGCCATTTACGTTTTTTATCCCGCAGTTCAAATATATAAAATTCATATACTCATTATTTTATCTTCATCTACGTACCATTTTTATGACCAGCTCCCACGCAGTTAACTTACCGCTAGCTAGTTAGCTAAACTGATTGGTTAAATAAGCGCTGCCCATTAAATGTCAACCTTAATGAAAACGAGTGTATATATTTCATGTAAATATATTTTTTTCATGTAAATAGATTTTCCCTTATTTTTTATTTCTATACTATTTATGTTTCTGGAAGATATTAGCCCTTCAGCCTCACTAAAATTCGAGATAAAATAAAGTTCATGACGTATGTATGTATACTGCGTAGGTCAGTTGCATATTTTTAAAACTATAATGATCTCCTTTGCACTTATTTATCCATTCAATCCGCAGTTCTGAATATATGCAATTCATCAACATTTCAAGTTTGGTCTGATTTGAGAGAAATGTACAGCGAAATATATACTGCTGTCTGGCTGCTAGAGTGATGCCGATTTAAAACGAGTGTGACTGGAAGGTGCATTGATCTGTGCTGTAATTATAACCTTATGTGAGCCGAAAAGAAAGTTTGTTTCGATTGATTCATTCTCTCCATAGTCATTAATTCATGACTCTGAACCCAAAATAACAAAAAATTGTTAATCAAAGGCACGAAACAGAAAAAAAAAACACACAAAAAATGTTGTTTTGGATTGAACTTGATTTAGCCTATGCCCCTGAATGAGTCGAGGCAATTGAAACACCAACCACTATCTAAGGATCTTAAATGATTCATTTAAAAGGCGGGGATGGCGCGATGAATTAACTTTATCACTTACCAGTGAAAGCAAGCAGAATTATAGTGAAGTGGTTTAGTGCCATCTGAGGTCTAAGCGTCCTCTGAGCTAGCTATCACAGTATCACAGATCACAATTACTGTTCTTTCTTGCTACTGACGGAAAAAATGAAATTGTCAAAGGCTATAAAAAAATTTTAATTGTTGTTGAGACATTTATGGGACGCCTTGGCCAATGGATGCTAGGAAAGTTTCATCCTTGTCATAAAAACAATTACAATTGTTATTACTTCTATTGCTTATCACTTGAATTAGCTAACATTATATTGCACGTGATCATGCATGTTAGACTACTACGTTTGTCATTTAAAGAAGTTGTTAAATTAGATCAGTTTGTCCTACTTGGAGCTTTGGTGTGCGGTGTGAGTCGTTTTAAAGCTATCTAAAAATCACCATCCTGATTGGAAAACGTCAGTTGCCAGGAGCCCATTAAACCTGCCAAGTACGCTGAAATAGCTGGAAGTCGAGTTATCTGCATTTCGATCAAATAATTATCAGGGCCTTTTTTAAGCATCATAATAAACTACAGTCTTCAAACGATATGTGTATGACCAAAACAACTGCGAAAGATAAATTGCAGTTATGGATCGCGTCTCCTTGAACGTCATTTCAGTGCATCGTTCGATTGACCAGTAATAACTGGTAAAAAAATTTCAAGTTGGTACCACCTAGCAAGAACTATCCTTTTACGATAGGGTATTTTTTTCTTTTTATGTTGTTACTATGTCACTTTTAATCCAAGATTTACGTATACTGTAATCAAAGTCCACAGCTGTAACAGGGCCCTCCGTCGTGTTACGTAATGAAGGCTACTGCTTCAAATTAGAAGAAATGGAAAGGAAAAAGAGGGGGCTTCAAGCTCATAAATGATGCACAGGTTATAGAAGAACTTTTGTCTTTCCCTAATTTTTCCCTGAATGGAAATTAACCAAGGCGTCTTTGTAAGGTTCCAACGCTTTAAACGTAAAAACGATTACGGATGCAAGCAAAGGTTAGCTGTCATAGCAACATTCCGTTCTATAAGAAATAATAATAATATATAATAATAACAATAATAAATGTCGCTAGTGCGGATATCTGAAATACGTGTCTATATGCTTTTATACTTAGGGCTTTTTATGGACACTGGTTTAGCCGTCATTAGTATAATTCGATTGCATGATCTTGATATCTCTGCATGATGGAATTCTTAATTTTATAGAATTTTGAACTTTTATTATTGATTATATCTATTTCCTCTTCTTTTATGTGAGGTTGAGGTACTTCTGTTTTTTAGAATTTGTAAATGAATGGTTTTTTCTTTCTTCACTTATTATATATAGGATTGTTTTAGATTTTTTGTAACAGCAGGTTGATTGTAAATAAGATTTTAATTGAGGTTTTGTATTAAAGATTCTTTATTAATGTTGTAATAACAATAATAATTATAGCAATGATAATAATAATAATAATAATAATAATTATGATGATAATACTGATAATGATAATAACTGGAATGTAATAAAACGAAGAGAATTACAACATCCTTCTGTAATAGGCCCAGTCGAATTTACATCGATCTTTATTGGCTTTTTGGAGGAAGTGTCGCCAAGTTGGCTAATTTTGTAGGTTTTTTTCTCGGTTGAGTACCTCCCCTTAGAGGTAACAAACTATAAGTAATCTAAATTCTCATGACAAGTAGCCACCGCCTTAGTCCAGGAAGGAAGGGAAGGAGTGTAATAGAGCATTTCAACACCCAAGATGTTTCTAGCTTCCTCTTATTTTACTGCCGGGGAAACTCAGCTCCCAAACTGATATTCATTTCGTTGACAGATACAACATCAAAACAGTTTTGAAATCCTTTTGGATGAGCTACTCCCATCCTCGTCCGCCGTTGCGGTCCCCTACGCTCTTCTCATCATGTATGTTGGAAATCAGCCGTTATGGCAATCACGCCGCGGTAGTTTTGTCTTCCCCCTATTTCTGCTTGCGGCCATCTTGATACACAAAAAATTCTTGTCTATCATTCTCTAAAACTTCATCTCCCGCAGTAGTGGGTGTCCTTCGCTATTCTGTGCTATTTTTTTTGGAATAGTGTTGTTTATTTGCTTTCGTCAACTGAACGAAAAAGATTAGGCCTCGTTATGTAAAACTCACACTTAATAATGGCAACAACATGCCTACGACAAAATGGTCAACAATTTTTGTTACTATATCCATAAACACGATGGTCGGTTGCTAGGGCTTTTGCTCCCGTTTGGTTCTTAAATTCAATTAAATTCAAATGAAGCAAAACATTAGAACATCTTAATTGGAGACAAGTTTTCTTTAAATTTTTACAATTGTAAAGGTATTTTTGACTTTTCTTGAAAGTATGACGTCATAACTGACACCTATTTTTAGTAACAACGTTAAAAATTTGATAAGCAGTGTTCAAAATGCTACAAACATTTTTGTTACAGAAGAACAATATTTACAGTGAAAACGCCATCTCAATCGGCTAAAATGGCGTGAAGTTACATTTAATTAAAGAAATTCAAATTTCCCGCCTCATGACCATATATGGTCAAACTTTAGGGGTATTTTAACGCGAAAACAATGAAGGAGGTCGCAACGGAAAAAAGACAAAGCTGCATAAAATCAAAATTGTAGTTTTTTGAATTCGGCATATGCGGTGCTATGACGCGTATTTCGTCACAAATTAAGTCATTATGACGTCAAAATGACGTAATTCGTGACGAAATACGCGTCATAGACCACACATCCTAAACTCAAAAAACTACAATTTTGTTTTTATGCAAATTTGTCTTTTCTCCGTTGCGACTACCTTCATTGTTTTCGCGTTAAAATACCCCTAAAGTTTGACCATATATGGTCATTTGGCGGGAAATTTGAATTTCCTTAATTAAATGTAACTTTGCGCCTTTTCATCCGATTGAGATGGGGTTTTCACCAGAAATCATAGAATTCTATACAGAAAACTAATGTAAAATTTTTAGCATTTCTTTCCTGAATTTTCTTTCTGATGCCATATTTAGACATCATTTATGACGTCACAATAGAAGTCACATGGGATGAAATAAACACCAATAAATAGGTAATTTATCAACTTACTTCCCTGTCAAGTTTTGTTACATTCGATGCATTCTACTTCTCTCTATGGCCTTAAACTCTAAGTTTTGAGAGGTATGGGAGCAAAAGCCCTAGCAACTGACCACCGTGAAACGATCTCGTCTCGCCATGTCAGACGCGTAGCTTCTCACTGAATATAGCCCTCAAAATATTTTAATACAACTTTTGAGTCTGCATACTTGATACAGGGGGGGGGGGGTACCCCCTCCCTTAAAGTGGCCTGTACGGGATGTTTCCGTTCAAAAAGGGAATCTTTGGCAAATTCAGGTGTTTGAAAAGGAAGGGTTCCCTTCCATTCCTTTCTTAATTATATGAAAGGGTAGGGAAATTTGATCTTTACGAAACTTTAATAAAAGGTCCTTTAAGAGGCCCCCTAATATCGGTTATATATTTTGAATATTAGACGCAGTTTATGGCTGAAGCATTAAGGTTTATTGTTAAGCCCTGCATAAGAATGACAAATTGTTTCTGCTAGTAGGTATATATCAGCGACAGGGCCTACATAAACTGAGTCCAGTAGTCCCCGAACAAATTTTATCATCGAGTAATGACTAGAAACTCGATAGAATAGGACTTTTATGAACTGATACAGTTGTCTATGGTGGATTCTGGGTCTTATTAAAATCAGCTATATTACTCTAACACGGTTAATTGACAGTCAGTAGAGCGGTGATGTGCAGTGCGGAAGGTCTAATGTAGGTGAACCAACACTCAGGATCTTGAAATGGCAGAGAAAGAAGAGTTCCTTTGTCCCGCAAACGGCTCGACCTTCGTCGTGTAGCTTAACTGACAAGGTAAATATGGCTGCCCATATCCAGCGATGTCCTTTACATAAGACACTCGATGATTAACCATTTTTTTTTACAAACTTATAATTAATTGTAGATTATATTTAGCTCACACGTGCAGTATTAGTGATCCTAAAAATTACTGAATAGCTTTGGTTACACGCAATAAAACTTACTTAGGCTCCGTTCATATGGAGAAAACTTGTCTCAGGTTGAACGGTCACTCGCCTACCCGAGCTACCCTGGTAGAGCCATGGCCATGACAGTTTCCTACAGTTCCTTACAAAACTTGAAGAACTGATTACGTGTGAAACAAAACGTTGGCTTGGCCGAAAAGTTGGCCCACCTAACTGGGTGACCCTTTTCTGATGGTAAGGTCACCTTCCTGGCCGAGCCAGCTCGGTGAAAGCGAGACCATCAGAACATGCGCGAGCGCTGTTGTAAGCTCTTGGCTCGGGCAAATGGGTCAACTATAAATGCTCGCTTAAGTTGACTCGGCTGGGAGGGGAGGGTGACCCTTTTTCAAGGGGTAACTTTTCTCCTTAACGTGGCCTAACACAAATAGATAAGTATGATCACATCATTATACGTTCCTGGGAAACTGCCCACTTACCCCTCCCCTAAGCCAACATTAACACTTGCTTCTCAGTTAGGCAGCAAGGGAATGAGCAACCTGTCTGTTTTTTTCTTATTGCCTGACTGATTGAACCACTTTGGTCTATAAGATGGAATTATGCAATTCCATGTGACTGTTTATACAAATTAAAACTACGTCACTTGACCTTTAACAAGAAAAGTTAGCACTGCGCTTATATTTACTGGAGGCTCTCCCGATCGCAAAATGACAGAACTTCTGACATTTGATGACTTGTTTCTGCCACTTCGACATTTTCGCTAAAACTTGTAATGCAATGACGACGGCTATCGCGTTTTCCCGCCAAAATGACGGTGGCTCACGTGCGAGCTCTACATATTTACCTCAAACGGCAAACGCGAATTTGTACCACGTGACCAAGTTTCCTCTTTACCCCTCGGTTACTGTTCATCATTTCTACACCTAAATTAGTAGTTTCACGTAAATTTTTATCGGCCATAAGATTTTGTTTTGAGCTGTTTTTATCTTCTCATTTTCTATTTTGAGAAATTCTCAACTTGCCGTCTACCGTATACGTGAAGCTTAAGTCTCTTATATTAGAGACATTAAACATCACATTTATAAGGCACGGCAAACGTGAATTTGTATAACACGTGACCAAGCTTTCTATCTACTTGGGGTTTACTGTTCATTATAACAACACGAAAATCACGCCAATTCTATCCATAAGAATTGTTTATAAGCTGTTTTTATCTGCTCATTACTCATTTGCTAAAATATATTTTTCTTGGGAAAAGATTTAACAAGGTACGTGAACAAGAACCGTAGTCAGATAAGCACTGCGATAGTGTTTAACGTTTTAGATAAATTCACTCAAAAGTATTTAAGTTCCTACGTATAAAGTGAAAGCGTTATTTCGTGTGAATTTATAACGACCAAGAGTCTGGCTGGATCTGTTCAGAACAGACTGTCCTTTGACGTAGCCATTAGCAGAGCGGAGAGGAACAAGAGGGCCATTGGATGCGAGATGGAAAGCCGTCCCTGGCCTACAAAAATTGAACAGACGAAAAATTCATATTGGGTTAAGACTGAGAGAGAATGGTTAAGATAATGAAAAAACTGATTTAAAGAAATTAAAATTAAAGAATATAATATCATCCGTGAAAATAATCTCTTCCATATCAGATATGAATAGTACCATTAACTTTCTCTAAACGGACCCGGCTGCGAGCTAAAATCACGTAGAATTTAGATTTTCTTCTCCAAGGCGTGCATTTCTCTGACGGGCCCGAAAGATACATGGGATGCTGATCTCAAAGGTGTCCATTTTTGAGAGACTTGACGGTGAAAGGAATCGCAATCCAAAGACTTAAGATGGCAAGTTTAACGAGGAAAGCTATAAGCAAAGGATCCATATTTTTTTGCCTACATGACGCACCGTTTAATAATACAGTATTTAGAAGATACAATACAATGCATATATCTTATTAATATTGCAAGGTTAAGTGGTTATCAACGTACTAAAATCTTTTATGAGACAAGCTGTATTTTGGCGAGGAGGGGGCGAGTCAAAACACAAGAATGGCTCTCTAAAAACGTGTTGTTTCTTTTTTTTTTCTTTGTTTTACTGGCCTGTTTTTCCTTACAACAAAGTATAGTTAGCATGGTTTCGGTCGCCGAATAAACGTTCGAGTTCGCATGGAATCTCAACAGGTACGCATAACGCGAGGTACACGGAACTGAAACACTTTATACGACCGAGTACGTACATAACTAATATTTATACATACCTGCTTTAAAGGAGGCTTTGAATCCTCTGTAAGTAGTAGTAGCGTTGAAATCACTCTTGAAATGTACCCAGACCATGTTACCCGCGCTCTGTATCGTACCAGGATTGTTGGTGCCACAAACGGGTTTGGAGAGAATTGCCCCATAGTCTCCTTCGAGATCAACAGGTTTGGTGATTGGTTCCTTCACGTAGGCTTCTCGGATTTCCAGGTAGTCATTTTCGCAGTTCATACTTTGCTCCAGTTCGAATGTCGAGTCGAAAGTGATTTGAACCTGGCGTTCTAGCGGAACGATTAAAAACCAGTTCCAGACAAAACTTGCCGGGTAATTTTTGGAGCCAAATTTTGGAGTGCTAAACTCAATGGTCTCATCTTCAGTTGCATTCAGGATGCTCCGAGAACCAGCTACAAGGGAAGTGATACAGACTGACTGTCAGCTTCGAAACACACCGTGTTATCCTTAAATGAGGTTTTAGTAAATGTAGCTGACACGTATACTCATCGCTCGTGTGCGCTATCCAAAAGGGTTGGACTTATCGTATTTTATGATATTAATGCAAAAATAATACTGAGTTCTTGTGTTCAATCCACGGGCTTAACGTTTTCTCAGTTCCAATCTGTTTTCCAAGAACGTCAAGAGAAATCTAAGGGTTAAGGATCGCACAGGTTAGCTCAATTGGTTAGCTAGACTTCTAAACTGAATAGATCGTCCTGGTTTTATTTCCGGCAGGTCCAAGACTCACGGTCCTAAAATAACTGAGTGATGAGAAAATGCTGCCGTTTCACATAAATCTGCGAATCTTTTGTCAATAACCTTTTTAACGTTTCTGATCAAGGAAGTAAAACGGTAGTACCCGTCTTACAGTCTCTCACTGTACGTCCCAGCTGGGTGCGTTTTTTCGGGAGAATCCAAAAACAAATTTGTGACCTCAGATCATATGGATTCTTCACTACCAAGAAAACGGAAGATTCGAAAAAGGAAAATTGAGGAAAAAAACAACAAACTGATCCTCACGGCGAAGACAAGAAGGAACTGATCAACATAAACTATGTATTTTATCACAGATAACTTCAGGAGCCCATCAAATAACTTTTATTTTTCATTTGTTTCACTCTTCATTAGCTTATAAATAAACTATACTCAAAAACAAAAGAAAAAGAAAAATTACCTGATATAGAAAAATTAACGGCAACATATATATTTCGGTTTAAAACACAAACGTTTCTCGAATAGAAGACACATTAGGATTGCAAATAATTAGAATTTAAAACTGAAGCCGATTAATTGTTTTTTTTTTAATTACTTGGAAAATAAACCGGCGTAACGGTTAACCGGCGTAACGCGTAACTACATACTTACAAAAAACATGACAAGAAAGAGTTTAAAGACAGTCTACGAATAATGTGAATAGATGACAAACATCACCAACATAGGTTCAGTTAGAATGTCATACATGTCCGGCATCTGTTGTGTACCATTTTTGTTCGAAAAACCGCTTGTCAAAAAATACTTTTCTCAAATCCTTTCCAAAAACAACGCTCAGATTGTGAATCTCAAGAATCCGGATTTGGATTTGATTCGAAGAATCCACCCTATAAGTGTGGATTTTATGGATCGATGATCCGTTCTGAATTCGCCCAAAAAAACGCAAGTATCCGTTTTGGGATTCGTGGAAATCCGGATTTGCATTTTCCCTTAAAAACGCACCCAGTCCAACTTAAAAGATCTTAAAGGGGCTTTGTCTATCACTTTTGTCCAGTTCTACTTGTTGAGCCAATAATACGGGCCCTTATTCACTCTGGAACTTGAGAAATTACTTTGAATAACAAAATCAAACATTACATCAAATGTTACAAGCAACAAAAAGGAAATTTGGAAAACTGTTGGGCTTTCTAAACACAAGTATTTATTCAATAAAAACCACAATTTCAATCCGTTGCTGTCTTCTTCAAGTCGCCCATCCATGCATTCCTTTACATTTTTCCCCTGCTATTTATACCTTCTTTTCAAGTTCTGAGCAGATATATTTATGTTTGACTCAGTTTGGTGGTAGTTCCCACTTTTTTGTTAACTTCATGACACAGCTCCTTAAACCACTCGTAATAGATATGACTCACTGTTTTTAAATGGGTCGTAACTTATAAGTCCAAGGGAATTGTCTCGTTCCCAGCCTTTGGTGTTCTCACCAAATAGATCACTGAGAGGCCTACCAAAACGGAACGAAGAGAGACAGCAGTATTCGCGCTGTACTCGTGACGTGCGAGCTTTTCAATCACAGGAGGCGTTAGAAGGAAGTCTGATGTTAGATTTTCAGGATTTTGGGAAACTTTCCACAGAATTTTCTTTGTTTCGTACTCGAGACACGACAAATATTATACATCCTTTCCATTAAAAGTAAGTGTATTTCCAGACAAGAGTGGAGGAATGTGGTCATTTGACATAACTTACCTGAGTCAGACTTGACGATGTAGGAAATGTTGATTCCTTTGTAGTGAACAGTATCATCTGTCTTGATGCGTATATAGAGGTCATCGGCAGTTACTGAGGGGTAATTATCAGGTATCGACTGCGCAGGTGCTTTTCCCCGAACCTGATTGCTATATTCTATGTGGTTACGACTATATCTTCCACAGCCCTGATCCGGAGTGATAAGATCGTTGTAGCTTTTTTCAATTTTTACAAAATCACAATCGCAACTTCTACACACTTCAAATTCATAGCTGAAAATAAAAAAGATAAAGACAACAAGAAATTAGAAGTACAAAGGAACCTCCCGTAAGCGACCACCCAAAATTCAAAGATTTAGTGGTCTAGTAACCTTATTCAAAACGGGCGGGCTTTTGAAGTCCCTCCCCCCCCCCTTCAAAACCGGGATCGTTATACGTTTCTGGGGAACAGCCCAATTTCCCCTCCCCTAGCTAAGCCAACATTTTTCCCTAAGTGAGAATAAGTGTTTATGTTCCTAAAACCGTTTATGCTATGTCAACCAAACTTGTTATATAGCGACTTCTCCTACATATTATCTGGGAACATTTTAAAGTCGTCATGACGTGCACATCATCAATGACGTTACCATAGCAACCGAGTTTTGACAGCCACGTTTTTCAAATTTTTGTTTTTCTATAAAAATGGTTTATTGCACGTCACGTGCAAATCTATCGCAGTAATTTTGCTATAGCTGTAAACCTTACACGTTAATATGGCATTCTGGTTGTCAGTTCTTGTTGTTGTTGTTGTTTTTTCTTTGCAGGGCGGGGGGAAGTTGGTGGGAAATGGGGTTGATTTGAAAAGGAAAGAAATTAGTGAGGGTAGAAAAGGTATACTCTTAAACCAGAGCTCGAGTCTTCTGGTCATTATGGTGGCGCTGGACTATCTAGTACTGTTATGTCACTAACTATTCCCATCACATTTTAATTTTCATCAAACCCAAATCCAATATTTTCCAATTTCGAAAATTTTAAACTTCTCCCCCGAATATTTATCCATCAAAAACATTGAAAAATCATCCAAAAAATTGTCAAATATTTATTGAACCAATGACTACGACCTTATGGAGCCATTTTTGACTGAATGAAATCTTGGCTAGATTTAGAAGAAAAAAATTGCAATTGTAATTAAATTAATAACAAACGTGGCTTTTAACCAGAATCGTAAAGAATACGAAAACAGTGCGTGTCTATTTTGTATTTGAGGGCTAACATGAATGAGGTTTATTATTGATTGTCCAAAGTGAGTTTTTTGTGGCTGTTGAGTTTTTTAGTAGCACGGGGCCTAGATAAAGGCATAGATAAAGTGGGAATATTTTTCTGTCGCGTTGGATTCAGATAGTTTATCTATACTGCATATAGCAGAATCTAGAAAAGTTATCTTACGTGTGATATGTTATTCCAAAGCCCACGTAAGGCTTAGGAATCTCAATCCTCCAACATTTTGTCTCGTTTACTCCATAAGTACCAGACATTGGATACACGAAATATCCACTTGTGACGCCTGTTATGTTTGTAATGCCATTAGGGCAAGCTACAGCAAAACATAAAACAAAGATAATTATAATATAGTTTAATAAGTAGTCTGCCTTTTCTGCTAATTAACAGGTACTTGTCAGCTCCTAAAACTAGCCGCCCTGGGGGTACTTTAGAAATTTCTGGATGGGGTTGTGACGTTAGGGACCCCAGAACTCTTTGCCTATACCTGACCCAATTCAGGTGAATCTTGCTACCCGAAATCAGACTAAACAAGAACGCTCTTAAAATCTTGGTTTAGTCTAGCTTGCTTGGAGACTAGATAAGAAATGAGGAGGTGATTAATTCTACTCGAAACAGGATTTACTCGCTAAAGGTTTTTCACTTCCTACTTTAATTTATCGACGGTCGAGTATTCCTCGGGATGTTTTATATCGTATTCGACGATTTGTTTCTGAATTTTATTCAAGTCGTAAACCTGACATCTATGAATTTAGTAGAGTGAATGATGTTTGGTAAAAACTCAGGGCCAGTGGAGGTTCAGTTTGTCGCTCAACAGAACGCTAGAAGGCACCAGGATACATACCCGTTGGCAGCAGAAACTGCCCTCAAATCCAGTTACAGGGACAGTTCGATTGATTGTTAGGAAACTGCACAAGAGGGTATTCATGCAGTTGTACCAAAAAACTGGACATACTGTGGAATGGGGAATGCATGCAGCTTAGGAAATGGATATCGAATTCTCGGCAGGTTGTTTTAGTCACGTCTGAAGCTGTCACAGCTTATTAAATAAGTGTTTTACAGTTCATTTAGGGACAGGAACCTGTTGTTGGCATTTCCTGAAACAGTACAGAAGACCGCAGAAGACTATTTTGACTACAAAGGTACCCACATAGAAGAAGGAGGTTTGCTACGGCATTCTATCCACTTGAGCTTGTTAGCCTTTTTGTCAACAAGGCTATGGGGCATTGGGTCATGACTGGCGAGTGACGTTATACATGATGAAATTGCAGTTAGAATCAGAAGCTGGTTTGAGCAGTTTAGGAGCCTCGGTAATGTGCACGTGTCAGTGCCCAGGTGGCTTCGAGAGTAGTTAGTTTATATTTGTGGATGCCCCGCTGCAAGCTTATAATGGGACTGCTGTATATTTACGGTGTTTACACAGCGATAGTACTGCTCCTGTGAACTAACTGACTTTCAGTGAGTCTTTTTTAGTTGAGAGCGTTTACTGTTTTATTTAATCATGTTTTGCACACTGTGGTCCCCCCGGTGCGGGGAGGGGAAATGTTGAGGAGAGCGAGATACTTTCATACTTTTTGTGTCATGATACATACATACATACGTCCTTTATTATCTTTCCTTCAACAAGGCTTTTCAAAGATAATTACAAACAAGTACTGCTGTCAAGTCTTTTCAACTTGGTAAATGAAGAATCATGAAGTGCTCGATTGTTGCTTTCGGGAGTAAAAGTTCTGTTGAGGGTTTCGCTCGGCCTTCGGTTTTTTCCAGTAATGCTTTTAATCATTAAAATCGTTGAGTTCCAGTTATTGGAGCTTTGTCGTATCATCGCAACAGTACCCAACTGAAGACCGTTCACCAACCTTTGCACTCTTTTAAAAAAAGGTAAAGAGGTGAAGGTCATTATTTTACGTCGGTAACTCGTAAAAGTCAGTACTTACATTGACGAATGCGCCCATTGTACCCTCTCCCTCTCTATTAGTTCGGATATTTAAAGTTACTTAAAGCTACACAGAAAAGAAATAAGTCGAAACAAGGATTTCACCTGTGAATCGTACTGGGAACCTCTCGTACAGAAGGCCGCGCCTGCTTACTTACTGTGTTAATCCTTCTTTTAAAGGATTCCGGTCCAAAATGACATCCTGTTCAAGACGACTGAGTGAAATTGTATACCCTGTTTCAGACTCAAGACTATGAAAAGCACATCCTGTTTAGCGGCACCATACCCGTTTAAGCCAAATAAGGGAGTGCCCCCCTCCATCCAGAGAAAAAGAAAGTTTGAATGTCAGTTTTTTCTTGTCTATTTGCTTCTGCTTGCTCATACCCACGCTTTCCCTTGTGCTTGGAATAACTTTAAATCGACAAAGGCGTGCATAGATTCCGGGGTTACTCCCACAAATTTAGGTTAGGTGTGTGACCCCCATGGTCTTAAATCCTGACCCTATTTAAGGTCTAAACCCGAAAATGTCACCCATTCAAGGAAAAAACAAAAGCAAAAAATTTAATGGCAACACACAGAGTCAAAAACAATACGCTGTCGGACGGCCCATTCTTTAATCTACCCCACAAATGAGAGAACCCCCCACCCCACCCCATCCGAGGGCCGGCATAGATTATCATGCTGGTGTCCTTGCTATCCTTAGAAGTTGTCGCGGAAACAGATATTTTTACTTACTTGAGTCACAGATTCCTTTACCAAAGAAAGTCAACAGTAAAACTGAAATGGAGTAGAAAAACCCACAACTGTAAAAGGTTACATTCAATAACATGCATGTTCAACCACATTTGGTAGCCCTGTTCTAGACCGATAGAGGCCAAAAAATCCCTTCTCTATCTGATTAATTAAGAGTCAGAAACTCTCAATCTTCACGTTTCTTCGCACATTAGGGACATGTAATTAACCTAACTTATACCAAAACCGTCGCAATATTGTTGGTACGCTGCAGGATTCATTTTGGTATTTTCCGTTTCGTTCGTCGTTATCGATCGTGACGTATCCAAAGAATCCGAGATGAAGAAACTAATCCTATAATCGCAAGCTTGAAGGCCAGGATTTCCCCCCAAAAGTAAAGTAGATCAGTTAGAATAAATATCCCTAGAGGAACATCGAAATCTGAGGAATTTTTGGGGATTTTGTGAAAAAAATACCCCAATTTTCTGACATCACAAGGGACTTAACGATCCAAGGACGCGATGGCATCGAGATCTTCAAAAAACAATAGTTTTAGAAGGCAAAACTGCAACTTTAAGGGTGCATCACACTTTTTTGTACGCTTCTTTGCCTTTTTTTACGTGAAATTGCCTAAGTGTTACATTTTAAGCTACGTGCAAACGGACGCAACAACTTCCAAAATTGTTGGCCCAACAATGTTGGGGTTGAACGTAACTCTAAACATTTGACAGTTTTCAAACACTGAGCAACAACTCCCACAAACACGTAACAACATGCAACCGTTGGACGCGACATATAATATCCAACAATGTTGGGGGTTGTTGGCCTGTTTGCTCGGGGCTTTATGGAGGAAGTAAAGGGGGACGACGATAATTTTTCTCTTTCTGAACTTGGATAGGGATCCTAGGAATTCAACTCCAGGGGGGGTCGCCTACTTTTGACAAAGTAAATGAGTAGGAATAATGGGGCGATCTGATGGCGATAATATAGACTGAAATAACATAAATTCACTTTTTAACAAAGATACGCTTTCGCTGCCATCGCCTACGTTCGGACTTACGATAACACGGTATTGACAACGATTAAATTTCCGCACTAAGACTCGATGTTTGCCGTTTTTCGGTAAGTTTTAATTAAAGGTTTGGATAGAACCAGGGAAATTTTTATCCTTATGTTCTCAGAAAAACCCTTTTGTAACAGACCCAGTGGAATCCATTTATTCACTGTGTTCTCGGAAAAAACTTCTCCGGGTTCGCACATTTTCCACTTTTTAAATAATTGTCGTAGTTGTTTAATTGTCTCCTATAAAAGCTAAAAGAGGTGTGGCAGGCCTTACATCTCAACCGGTACGAAACCTTTGAAAACCTTTTACATATATATATTGCTTTAGCGGGAGTAACTAAAAGATTTACATTTTTTTTAAGCGAGATCGATTACCTGTACGCACCAAGTTTTTTTCTGTCAATGGGAATGAAGTTTTATATTATTGCTTCTTTTAAACAAATATCAGAATAGCAAAATGCAGTGTGTTTAATTTGTCACTATTGTAAGTGACCGGGGAAGCAAAAAATTAGCCGGGTAGAAACAATCTGTTTGCCAGGTACAGTTACTTGAGAGGATAAAATATCAGTGGGTAGGCTGAATTATTAAACCGCTGGGTAGGGTTTCACTGGGTCTGTTGCAGAGTGTGTTCAGAACATTTGTTTTGGCAACACGTATAGTTGCCACGCAGACCGTTACATCTTCCATGATAATGAAACCGATACAAATTCATTGATCAACCGAAATTGAGTATATTCTCAAAACAAAGCGATAAAAAACATAGAAAAGAGCAAATTTTAGGCATGAGACGTTAAATTACTTAAGTACAGCGCCGGTGTAAATATGCAAATAAAATGTACCACTCACGCGAATCGCATCGTGTTTGACATGGATTAACGGTGTAGTTAAAATATGACTACTACATCACCGCTTTAAAGGCGTGCGGTAAAACATAGAGCTAAGAAGGCTATTTGGAAAGACGGGTGGTGCTGCGGAGAACAAATGAAATCTTTCGAAAATTTCTTTTTCTTTGTCTGAAGATATATTACAGATTCAATATTTAATCTTGCTTAAGCACGTGTATGGCCGCTATTTAAAAATTAGTACATTAAATGCCTGTTTAATAATTGCTTGAAGGATTTGTCAGAAATTTGTTGTATTGAAGAGAGGGCGTACTTCAAATCGATGGTTTTCCATTTGGTAGGTTAAAGGTTGTAACAAGAAACTAAGCAAGGTCAGTTGCTAACGCGAGAGGCAGACATCAGGAAAGCTCCTTATAATTTCTTATGTTATTTGTCATTGAAAAAAAAATGGAAATCAAATCGTAGCTACTAGCCACTTGATAGAACGTACCTACAACTTGTATAGTTGAAATAGGTGCAGTAAAGTCCATCACGTTCGTCGCTGTGTAATTTATATTTAGTCTGTTCAGTCAGGCTCACAGACTCTTTTACAGAGCTCAAGCTTGTTGACAATGTAACACACCCCACAAGGTCCACCAGATTTATGTATAGCTTATTGACTATGATTTGTTCGCATAACAACCGTAACCATGCTAAAATAGCGGCAGGTGCAATCGGCTGAATGACAGATGAAAAGGTCGATCGATTTAAATCGTTTGCACTTTCTAAAAAAATATTGCTCCCCGCCAGTTTTTAAAATAAAAATTGAGGGAGGATTTAAATTGTTGGGAAACTTTCTTCTTCTCTTGTTATAATTCGGCATTTTGCTCGAGTGCTTATGATAATCAGTGAAAGAGTTGTTTTGTAAAGTTTCTATAGAAACAGTTAAAACAGTCACGGGTGGTTAAATTTGTTTTTGTGGTATTGACCTCAATCGTTATCATTTAAGTCGATAGGTGCAGTTATTTACACAGGCGTGTAGTGTGTTAGCGTAAGATACAACGTGTTTCGAGTTTTTTATATTAGTGTCCGGTTGTTGCAGCCTAGGAAGATAGGTCTGTGAATTTAGATGAATGTAACAGCTAATTATCACAATACGATTACATGCCTCGAGCTAGCCTGTTACAGACTCCGAGATAGTGGTGAAAAGTCGTTCAGTAGAAAGAAATGCGAAAAAAGAGTTAAAACAACTCATGTATGGAGTAAAATTAACCCCATTTTCGGAGCTTTTCTTATTAACTCCAGACTGGAAGAAGTTAAAAGAACTCTTTTTCAGGAGTAATAATGACCCCAAATTTGGAGTTGAATTAGGAGTTAAAGTAACCCCATAAAAGGGGTTATTATTTATTCAAAATATTTCGCCGATTCTGATTGGCTAAAAGCACAAGCATAATTCACCATAACCAGTTACTGATGACCAAATTTGAAAGAATTTTGTGTTTAACGAGGAAATGACGTCAAAAATGCAGCGTTCTTGCAGGTTAATGCACCGTTAACCGAGAAGACCTGGGGACGAGGTTGAGTTGTTGTCGTTGTGAAAACAAATTATGGCGGACATTTCACTCGTTTCAAGAGTAAGAACTAGGCGAAATTATAGCTAAAAACATGGCAAGAACAGCAAGAAGGGCGACATTAGCTATTTGGAGAATATTTGCGGAGCTAAACAACCCTAAACGTGTACGTACCATCGGAGGTGAACTTGACATCGATGGAGGTAAGCATGTTTTAGCTTTGTTTTTAAACTAGGAATTATTTTGAATGAATAATAAAACAATTATCGAATTCGGCTTTCGTATCATATGAAGAATTATGGAGATCTCGGAGGGCACGATGGTCGGTTGCTAGGGCTTTTGCTCCCGTTTGGTCCTTAAATTTCAAATGAAGCAAAACATTAGAACATCTTAATTGGAGAAAAGTTTTCTTTAAATTTTTACAATTGTAAAGGTATTTTTGACTTTTCTTGAAAGTATGACGCCATAAGTGACACCTATTTTTAGCAACAACGTTAAAAATTTGATAAGCAGTGTTCAAAATGCTACAAACATTTTTGTTACTGAAAAACAATATTTACAGTGAGTGAAAACCCCATCTCAATCGGATAAAATGCGTGAAGTTACAGGTAATTAAAGAAATTCAAATTTCCCGCCTCATGGCCATATATGGTCAAACTTTAGGGGTATTTTAACGCGAAAACAATGAATGTATTTACAACGGAAAAAAGACAAAGCTGCATAAAATCAAAATTGTAGTTTTTTGAATTCGGCGTATGTGGTGCTATGACGCGTATTTCGTCACAAATTACGTCATTATGACGTCAAAATGACGTAATTCGTGACGAAATACGCGTCATAGACCACACATCCTAAACTCAAAAAACTACAATTTTGTTTTTATGCAAATTTGTCTTTTCTCCGTTGCGACTACCTTCATTGTTTTCGCGTTAAAATACCCCTAAAGTTTGACCATATATGGTCATTTGGCGGGAAATTTGAATTTCTTTAATCAAATGTAACTTTGCGCCTTTTCATCCCATTGAGATGGGGTTTTCACCAGAAATCATAGAATTCTATACAGAAAACTAATGTAAAATTTTTAGCATTTCTTTCCTGAATTTTCTTTCTGATGCCAAATTTGGAAATCATTTATGACGTCACAATAGAAGTCACATGGGATGAAATAAAACCAATAAATAGGTAATTTATCAACTTACTTCCTTGCCAAGTTTTGTTACATTCGATGCATTCTACTTCTCTCTATGGCCTTAAACTCTCAGTTTTGAGAGGTATGGGAGCAAAAGCCCTAGCAACCGACCACCGTGGGGTGTTATCCGCCTTAGCCTACGCCTCGACGGATAACACCATCGTCGATCTCCATAATTCTTCATAAGATACTCAGCCTCATTCATTAATTGTTAATTATCCTGTACCTAAAATTTTTACTCCATTTTTGAAATTATAATAAATCTCTAAAAATTACTGTGTAGTACAACTATGTGATTTTCATACACACCTCCTTTGTAGGTGATAGAAATGTTGTTGTCACTCTTAAAATGCACCCATAACGTGTTGCCAGTGAATGCTTTGAATCGTGCTGGACTTGTTAGTATCACACTGACTGGAATGGATAGAATTGGCCTATAAGTTCCACAAAACTTACCTTAGTAAATCTAGGGTCGACAGTGATGGCTTGTCTCACCCCCAGATAGTCGTTCTCACAGTCTGTGCTTTGCTCTAGTTCGAAAATGTCAACGGATATTATTGTTATTTGTTTTCATACATCTATGATCTTTTTAAATTATTTTTATTCAAATGCATTGTATCTTTATTGACTTAGTATCTTTACTGTCGTGCGTTTTATACATGAGCCTCTGGCTCGGATGATCGGTGCAACCCCATCCCATGACGTTAATAAATTGACGGATTGATTGATTGATTGACTGAGTGTAATAACACCAAAGAAAATTTCTCATGGGAGTCCGAGAAAACGGATTTCAAATTTCATAAGAATTGTGAAAACACAGGTAAAATTCTGAAAATTTAATATGTAAGATGTAATTTTGTAAAACTTGACATTCATTTTCTCGGGCATCCATAGGAAATTTTCTTTGGTGTTATTACAGGTGACTAATTACATCTTTAGCTCTTGAAAAATGTAACAGAAAAAGAATAAAATGTGCTTTAAACATGTTTAAAAGGTTTTTGTCCACTGAAAATTAGAATTACTCAAAAGGCCCTGTGAACTAGTGAGACCGGGACAGCTTAGCAGCCTGGCCAGTTTAGCAGTTTGCAGCCCAGTTGTCAAGTCACATTCTCATCAAACTTTACAGACATTTGCCCTCGCTAATCGTCTTTGCGATCAAATAATCAAAGAATGAAGATCGAGGAAGTAAAAAGTACAACTAAAACACAGCGAATAGCTGCACACAGCCACATCAAAGGGCTTGGGCTGGACGAAAATGGCGAAGCTTTAGCAATGGGATCAGGCCTCGTGGGTCAAGAAACAGCACGGGAGGTAATGTTTTACTTCTTTACCAAAGTATTTAATACAATACAAACTTTAATGACACTCCCTAACCAGGGCTTTTCTGTGACGATAATAATAAATTTACAAGATAGCTCGTCAAAACGATAGTAAGTGAAATCTAAAAATTTATGATACAATGGTTTACTACTGTAGATAAAAAGAGTAAGAAAGCTATATAGTCGCTAGAATTACATTGAATGAATTAGTTTCTGCAAAATTAAAACAGATCCTAAGATTGTAAGCTAAGACCGACAAGAAAGAAAAGCGACGAATAAACTGGCTCTAAGTTAACGCTTAAAATTAAGAACAGAGTTGCAGAGTTTAAAGGAATTGTCCGAACTATTCCACATGCTTACTTTACGGTTTAATAGAATGTCCTTTGTCCAGATCTCGATTTAAGTAAGGGCATTTGCAAAAGTTGACCTTTGCAAAATTTTTACGCTGTAGCATCTTAGTTTCTAATTACATGTTTTTACATTATGTAAAGTATGCAATAGAAGTGAAATTGGTCGATGGGGTGTGTAGCTGGGGAGTGCTTGGTCATGAGTTGAACCTCCCCTAACTGCCACCTCTGTACAACAGCTGCTTTTTTTCGTCGCAGTGGACAAAAAATCCATACATTGACTCTTAATTAAAACCTCTCCAGAATGGCCACCTCTTTTAATACAATGGCCACTTTCTTCTGTCTCCAAGGTGGCCGTTGTAGAGAGGTTCAACTGTATTTAATGGGTTTTGAAACTAAGGACAGGCATGGAGTGATGCAAGTGTTCATTTTAGAAAATGTCGGATCTTTACAAAATTAGCTGTTCTATTGTGGCTAAAAACCCCAGAGAATATGAAACTTTGCACACTGTGCATAAAAAGCGAGTTGTTGGGAAACAGACAAACTTGTAACAGGGCTGAAAATAACGGACAGCAGATTGCCGGTCATGATGACCGGCCAAATATTTTTTAGCCCGGACAAACCCCGATTCTGGTCGGACAAATAATGAATAGTAATATTTTTTTTTTTGCCTAAGGAATATCCAATTATGCTGGCAATAGATCGTTATTACTACATTGACGTTCACACTTTTGACAGCAAGTTGGTGAAAAATGCATTCGCACGTTGTAGAGTTCCTTTCTGCGGTTTTCGCGCGTTTTAATGTTACGTTCTACCTTGAGTATCATTGCACGGCGGTGTCTGAAGTCTCTAGAGGTAAAAAGTGAAGCGCAAATCCTTTTCAAACTCTCAAGGTTCGGGAAACGGAATACACATACAGCTCAGAAAACTTTAGGAATTACGAAAACAAAAACAAAAAACAAAGTCTGCACACGCTTGTTTTAACGTTGATGTTCCGAAATGAACATCGGTGAAACTTGATTTTTTTCCTTGCCTGGCACGTGATCCAAGTCACCTCCCCGTCACCTCCTCAAAGAAGAATCGTCGCTAATATTTTCGGCAAAGAAGTTGATTTGCATTGGCGAGAAGTTTGTTCCACAAACGGCGTGTTTAAATTTGGGTCATCGCGCAACATTTTGTCATGAAGGGCTCAAATGTCAACAGAAATTTGCATAAAGTTGTTTACAAGAACCAGAATCTAGCGCTGAGATAGACGACGACCTTCCCTCTTGATTAGCTTAAATTTTTATCAGACCATTCTGGAATCGAGTCTGCAAACGAGATTCATGTTCGGCATAAAAGAAATTATTATTAATCGATGCGCTAACATTTATTCCCGGAGAAACACAGGACGACCTGTTGAGAATGGCGATCGATTTGCCCGAATTCCTTCGAATTCCCAAAGAAGGTCACATTGCTGATTACAGCAAAGCAGAAACTACAGTACGACTTGCAACGTTGCATTACTTTTCAACTCAGTTTGTTATTCACTTTGTTGTGTTACATGACGACATGAAATTAATGTATTGCGGAGATGTTTTTCTTAGAAGGGTTTAGAGCAAAGCAGCAAAAAACGCCAAAGACGAAGAAATCATTGCAGCGTTATCGAGCATTAAGCAACAACTGTATGGAAAATAAAATGTTTGTATCCAAAAATGACCAGTCAAAATGACCGGCAAGACCGGAGTTTGACCGGTCAAGTCCGCGATCAGGACGGACAGTGTCTGTTGACTGGCCGTTATTTTCAGCCCTGTGTAAGGTCAGTGAAACATGACTTGTTTCAACTGTCAGCCCACAAACATTCCTGCACCGATCTTGCAGGTCAAGTTGAAATTTGAAATAGGCCATTCATCATGTGGAACTCTGTTGAACAAGAGAAGACAGGCTCTACTTGCTGAACAGCAGCAGCAATCTTTTAATAATTGTATACTCGCAATCTTCCTTCCTTATTGTTGTGCAACAGAATGATGTTGAATGATGTTGTTGTTTCCATTGTTTGAACAGGCCCCAGATACACTGTATCCAAATTAAGTGATGGTGCTGCTATCCAGTGGAGAAATTACTATATTTATTTTACTGTGTAATGCAATGATTACAATAACACTTGTCGAGTGAATAGTGAATTTGTATCCATTGGATATCTCTATCCAACTTTCGTACAACTGGGACCAGATTAATGATTAATCAATTATTGACCCAAGCATGAGCATAGAAAATTATGTAGGCATAAGCACATGATTGCATGTACATTTAGATTTTTGTGTGTGCCATTTTAATAGTTATGCTGTGGGAAAAGGCCTTACTAAAACTGATATAAAGAAACTGTATTTTCAGGAAGGAGTTTCATAGTAATCCCTAATGTGTGTATTTGTCTTAATATACTTTACGCGTACTGTAACTATGTTCTTGTATGGCTGCCCTTTCAAGAGCAGCAGATTACTTACTACTAATACTTACATGTACAAGCTACTGGGTTATAATAAGTTCACATCAGAAGTTGTCATTTTTGTTTGTTCTCATCACAGGCAGCAGGAGTAGTGGTCGAGCTTATTAAGTCCAAAAAGATGGCTGGAAGAGCAATTCTTTTGGCAGGTCCACCAGGGACTGGCAAGGTACCATTTTTAGTAAAAATCATACACTTGTATACTACGTGTACTATGTCTGGTGTCTCATTTGAAAATACTACAGGTTTGGCAAAGTTTGTACAGGAAACAAAGAGTGAAAGAAAGTAAAATGTTGCATTTTTACTAATTCCATCATAGTACTCTATAATTTTTGCCTCACTATTATGCTCAAAACTATGCTGGCATTACATGTATGTCAACAACCCAGTCAAGGAGCCTGTTCCCTGACTGCTCAAATTCCACAGTTGCGTTCTCTGATACTACACCTGTAACTCATCCTTTTTCACCTCATTGCCACCGATGCTTTTCTATGGCTTCATGGGAAAAGAATGCTTAATACTACAGTGTAGAAAAAATACTAATGTAATTTTGTTAGTCACTGTAGACCCCAGATTAAATGGCTTTTGTATTGTAGACGGCTTTGGCCCTTGCTGTAGCTCAGGACCTGGGACCTAAAGTGCCATTTTGTCCGATGGTTGGAAGTGAGGTTTACTCATCTGAAATCAAGAAAACAGAAGTTTTGATGGAGAACTTTAGGAGAGCCATTGGTAAGAATGAACCTACGTGGTGAATGTTTTGTGTTTTTGTAGTAGCTGACTTATCTTCTATTATGATGCTTCCTTGAGTGTCTTCTTTCTGTCTCCCCGTACATTCTGAGAAGCTCTTCTTTGATTACCAGTCCAAAGAGAGGACCAGTGCAGCCGCCTCTCTGGATTTGAATGTCATTGTCACCAATGTTCAGGAGTGTGTGATAAGCAAAACCACTGCATAAAAAATTTGATTTACGCCAAATTTACTTGGTGTAAATGGTGCAAAAAAGTGCAAACTACGGTTAAATAAATGATAAAGATGGAAAATTCCGCATTAGCTCTCGAATCTACAACCCAGTGTAAACTGGTATGCAAATGTGGTATTTACCATCTTTACCTTGTTCGATTTCCTCTGTGATTGCCCCCTTTTGCACCATATTTGCCCCAAGCAAATTTGTGTAATCTAATTTTTTGTGCAGTGAAAGAAGGACTGTATTGGTAACTAGTGCATTTGTGTTGAACATTGTTGGTTTGTAGTTATACGTGTAGAATGTACATCGACTGCCATTTTTATGCATTTTGTGATCAAACAACCAAAATGGTACACATCAACATGAATCTGTTTGACTACATACTTTATGCAGTATCTTTTGGTTTTTTGGTGAAAGTACAATTTTGCATCAAGTTATGATTTTTTTAATTGAAACTTTATCATTACATGTTATTTTTTTTTTGATACCACTGTGTAGGACTAAGAATAAAGGAAACAAAAGAAGTTTATGAAGGAGAGGTATGTTTTGTTGCCACCATCATCCTCACTGTCTAAATTAAATCTCTTGTACAAAGTTTTTTGGCATGTTACTGTAGCATCCCAAACTACAGCTGTATGCTTTCAGTTATTATTGTGTGCCATTAAACTGGGGTAACGCTGTATGCATTGTAGGGAAAATCCATTCCGTAGTCTAAGGAGGGATTTACATGAGGGTAAATGGTTAAGAATGTTCTTTATTGTTTTTTTTTTTTTTACTAGAGCTTTGTATTAACATTAATATGTCTCCCTTTAGGTGACGGAACTGACACCCTGTGAAACAGAGAATCCCATGGGAGGTATAAAAAGACTATTTAGTGACAATGTTTTATTATTTGTTTCATGAACTAATGGCAGAAGCAGCATAGATAAAACAAGAGGCGAGAGGACATCTCATGAGAGGACATCTCATTCTGATTCTTAATTGTATCAAATTATTTTGTAGGCTATGGCAAAACTGTGAGTCATGTGGTAATTGGTCTAAAAACAGCAAAAGGAACTAAGCAACTCAAGGTAAATAATAATGTATAGTACCTTGTATCAGCCTTGCATTGTGTGGTGTATGGACATTATGTACACACATGCATTGGTTTATTTATTAATTTTGTTTGATTTATTTTGAGGGGAGAGGGTGGTGAAATGGTTTTTTTTATCCAATATTGATATGATTTTAATAGTGTTTATAATATATGTAATTTTATTTCTTTGACTAAGATTATTGTATCATGATAAATCCCTCCCTTTCTCTTTTTTTGTGGAGAGGGAAAGATTTATTAGGGCCATTTATACGAGGAAAAATGAGACGCGTCTTAAATACGACGCGAACTGTACCATTTATACGAGCATGTCTTATCTAATTTGACGCGTCTTAGCTAAGCCGCGTCTTATTTTAGACGAAATGTGCCGTTTATATGGAAAGTTCGCGTCTTATGTAAGACGGGTCTTATTTTTCCTTGTATAAATGGCCCTATTGTGATTGGTTAATCTGAGTCAAAGAAATAAAAATCAAGCATTTTAGGAAAATGTTTTGGTGCAAAAGAGATTTTATTTATTTTTTTGTACTGTCTCATTTCTTGCCATTTGTGTGTACAGCACATCCACACTTAACTTGTAGGTTAAACTCATATGATTGTGCCTTTTTGGTTGTAGCTGGACCCATCAATATATGAAAGTCTTCAGAAAGAAAAAGTCGAAGTTGGTGATGTGATTTACATTGAATCAAACAGTGGGGCTGTCAAGGTTAGATTGTTGGAGTTTTGTACATCATCCAGGGCTGTGCTCTAAGGAAAATTGAAGGGAACCTGTAAAATTTGGAGTGTCCGGCATATGATTTGTGTGAAAAAACTTATGATTTTCTAGTTTTTTTGCTCTTGGAAAACTTGAAAATCGTAAGAATGTTAGGCATCAGGGCCATCGCTAGGCTCTGTTAGAGCATGTCCCTGATCATCATGTCACTTGTGCGGTACCTACTGTTCTAGTGTGAAGTCGATACATGTACATGTATCAGCCATTTTCTTTGGGTGATTTTTCTTTGTCCTTTTCAGCGTCAAGGTAGATCAGATACGTTTGCCACAGAATTTGATTTAGAAGCAGAAGAGTATGTTCCACTTCCTAAAGGTGATGTTCACAAGAAAAAGGAGATTGTTCAAGATGTGACCCTTCATGACCTGGATGTGGCAAATGCTAGACCACAGGTTGGTGCAGAAAGAGACCATTATTTCCAACATGACTTGTACTGTACATGTATTACTGATACTACGGTAGTTTGAACCCAGGAGTCATTATTTTCATGAGTAGCTGGAATATGATAATCTACAACAACAACAACAACAACAACAACCAACTAACCCAACCAACCAACCAAAAATTATTTTTCCAACTTAAAAAACGTTTACAAAGAACAGCATAAATTAAAATAGATAAGGCAAAAAAACTACTCAGAATAGCAAAAAAACTAAACGAGCGGAGTGGTTACAATACTTCCTAATAAATTAATAATTTAGCAGAAAAAATAGCGATGAAAAATAAATAAGAGTTGTAGCATAAGTGTTACCCCAGATGGGGATAGATACCCCTTCTCAAAGACATAGACATGTTAAGCCACTCAAGACTTTTCCACTTTATATATAAAAGGCTAAGATTGCTGCAGATAATTGAACTTTACGGAGTTTATTACTGATATGTACTTTAGTATTAGCAAAACGATTGCTGTTCTAAAAATATTATTGTACTTTTATCTCAGGGAGGTCAAGACATTCTGTCCATGATGGGACAGCTCATGAAGCCAAAAAAGACAGAAATTACAGGTAAAAACTACAAGTACAGATGTGCATGCTAGCAGTGAGGTGACCATAAAAGCTTCCTGTTGGTTCTCTTGAGACTACACAGTGGGTCAGCTAGCCGTATGTGTTGCTTCAGTCTGTATAATGGAGTATAGACTAAAGAAGTGTAACATCATGATAAGGATTAGAATCAAATTTGTGAAATTGTTGGATTTCTTAAAATCGTTGGTCCAAAACACATGTATCTCTTTGACAAAAATCAGCTTGTTAGTGCAAATTGGAGTCGACATACAATTGAAGGTGAAGCATTGTTATACTCTGATGTCCCCATAAAAAGCTTCTAGTTTTGCCTTGGATCATATTATTCTTGCATGCAAGGAATTACTCACCTACACTGTATTGTAAAAAAAAACTTTCCATTGGGTCTTGATTATGGTTCTTCTTTTCCAGATAAACTGAGGAAAGAAATCAATAAGGTGGGTAATTAAAAAAAGAAAAGAAAAAGAAAAATAGAGCGAAAAAGAAATATTGATCTGTTGTTCCAATAAAAAATATGTTGTTACACCTACATGTAATTATTTTATATAGTTATACTCAAACCTTGGCTTGGCTTGGCTGCTGAGCTCGTTTTCTTCATGCTTAACCATGTATGCACCCCTTACTTGGTGGTATCAGGTTTTATGGAACCCACTCGTCGTGATTGATTTGGAAAAATTGACGGTTGTATGTTGTATGATTTATGTACCTCGACTTCCCATTTTCTTACCTTTACTGACATATAAGCTTCCTTCTAAATGTGTTGTGTATTGTATTTTTGATATATTCTTCAGGTGGTTAATAAATATATTGATCAGGGAGTAGCTGAGCTTGTCCCTGGTGTGTTGTTTGTTGACGAGGTAAGAAACTTGCGTGTTCTACAAAATGTACATCAATGTATTAACGGACTGTTTTTTAATAGTAGCACAGGAGACTTTTGCATCAGTTTCGTAAGTAATAGGCTTGTGATTTCGTTTTCCTCTGATTTCGATTTACCGATCCTTAGCTTGTAAATTCGTTTCCTACATTTTCGATCGTAAATCTCAGCTACTCAGTCTTTGCTGTTAAAAAATGTAAAGTGTATTTCTGGGCCGCAGAAACTGCATCCTTCACATGCTCATGCCGTTTTACGGTTCTTATGAAAATTTTCGACCTTTATGTTAAACGCCTGTTTGTGAGTAGGGCTTAATTTGGCACTGCTTCTCGTTGGTTGCCCATTCTAGTGAAAAGCTATTTCCGTGGAAGTGGATATTTCATATAATAATAACTCTTTTTAGGTACATATGCTGGACATTGAATGTTTTACCTATTTACACCGAGCTCTGGAGTCTACTATATCCCCTATTGTTATATTTGCTACAAACCGAGGGAATTGTACTATAAGGTAAGGTAACTTGCAGTGCATGTGTTGCTAAAACAACGTTTCTTGAAGTCATGAAGGGTGAACAAAAGATAATTTTGTAAATACTTCTTGTAATTAGTAATTAGCTAACATTGTAATTAGTATTAGGTTAAGTGTTGTAAGTAGTTATTAAAATTAATGTAATATAATCATTGTTCTTGAAAAGCCCCTTTGGGGAGGTAACATTAAGTATGTATGTATGTAACAAAGAAACTCATGACTGTGACAATGGTTTCAGTCCATCCTATGTTCCTAAATACTATAAAGGTTTTAAGTGTTAGGTGTCAAGGATAAAACAGCTAAGATCATTTGAGAAACCATGTGAAACATTCCAAAGAGGGAGTTCAATGAGCCTTTTCTGCCAGGTTGCTCTTTACAACGGCGGCTACTTTCTTGTTTGTACTATCCTGGCGGTTAGTATACACATGTAAGACACAAATTAATTTCCTTTTCTCTCTCTCTGCAATGGAAACAGCCGCCAAGATGCGTTACAGCTGGTAAAATATAAACCTTTCCATAACATCTATTGTTTAAGACGGTTCATCGTTAATAGATGCACTTAACTGTACCTACATGTTTAGACTTAAATTGCTACAAGTCGACCTCTTGGCGAGCGAAGCGAGCCTTTTGCGGCCATTTCGCCGCGCAGCGGCCGAAATATGAAATCCGACGAAGAACTTTTGTGAAAGTCTACTACATATTGTGAAACTGGATCTGTTTCATGATTTACACGGTTGTTCTGATAATTTAGATTTGATTTTCTGCTGCATTTTTGTTATGTTAGCTACAGGTGTATCAATCAATGTATGTTACAATATTCTTTTTTGGTCGCCTTTCCTATTGAGGTCACGTAAAAACAAATATTTTTTTGTGTGTTTGCGTCAACAGAGGCACGGAAATAACTGCTCCCCACGGGATCCCCCTAGATCTGTTAGACCGGCTTATGATTATCCGCACCTTACCCTACTCACAAGATGAAATGGTGCAGATTATTCGCATCCGGGCACAGACAGAAAACATCCAATCGGACGAGGAGTCGCTGAATCTTTTAGGAGAAATAGGCACAAAAACGACTCTTAGGTAAGGAAAGGAAAATATATACCATAGACTGCGGCTTACAAGCACCAGTTATACAGGAAGGTCCATCTACCCTATAAATCTCCCCTGTTTTGTATTGAAATGAATTCTATTATATTATGACTTATTGAAGCTAAATGAAAAACCAGTAAATGCAAAACACATTTTGATCGATCAGCATTGCTAGCGCTAAAGCTTGTTTCGAAGCGCTTTTTCTATTACATTGTACAGTTATAAGACTCCTCGGATTAAAGCTCGTCCGTTTACACGATATGCCCCCTTAAAACTTCTTACGGAGATGTATAATCCCCCAGGGCTTATAGGCGGCAGTTTACTGTACTCCCCCCCGGTCAGAAAACACAACCGTTTATAAGCCCCCTCGGATATAAGCTCCTCCGTTTATGAAGCCCCTCGGATATAAGCCCCTCCGTTTATAAACCGTCCTAAAAGCCCTTACGAAGATATATAACCCCAGGGCTTATAGGCGGCAGTTTACTGTACTCCCCCCCGGTCAGAAAACACAACCGTTTATAAGCCCCCTCGGATATAAGCTCCTCCGTTTATGAAGCCCCTCGGATATAAGCCCCTCCGTTTATAAACCGTCCTTAAAGCCCTTACGAAGATATATAACCCCATGGCTTATAAGCGACAGTTTACGGTATTCAAAAAAGGTGCTAAATGTTTCCCCCCTTGCGCGCTGGTTTTTCGCCGATGGATAGTTATCTGAATTTTAGTCCAGTCTATAGATGATAGTTACTTTGTAAATTAAGTTTGTAATAGTAATTGACAGTGTCCATAATTTTGTTTTTGTCACATCTGTTAGATATGCTGTTCAGTTGCTCACACCCGCTAATCTTCTCGCTCGTATTAACGGTGAGTATATTAAGATAATTATTAAATAGTTAGTTTAGTTTCCTTTACACCCTTCTTTTAATTTTTTATTCATTTATCGTTTCTTTATTAACCTTTTTGGTGTCATTTTTAGGCCGCGAGAATATAAACAGACAGGATGTCGAGGAAATCAACGAGTTGTTTTACGATGCTAAATCATCAGCAAAACTTTTAGCCGAACACGAAGACAAGTACATGAAGTAACTCCATCGTTTCATCAGGCGGCGAGACTGAGTTAAATAGTGAAAGACATCAAGAAAGCAGCCCTCTTCTTGAGTTTACGAAGATTTTCTCAAAGAAAATGTTTAAGTGCCCATTTCCTTCTTTCGCATAAATCTTAACATCACATGTATTTGATAGTCGGCATTTCTCTCGGTTCTTCTTATGTTTTATTCAGGCGGGTATCGTAAAGTAAGAGAACACGCGACCTCAGCTTACTCACTCAAAAGGCTAAGTCGTGGTTAATTTTGAGTGGTGTTTATAGTGTACGCTTCACGCGCACATAAGACAGTTATTGCCTTTTAGTGTACGTATTTATGTATTTTCTTCTACCAGTCAACACACAAAGAAACCAGGCAACTGCTAAGTGTCGGAACATGAAGTGGATTTGAAATAAGTGTTAAAACAGCTTCGTTTTCAAGTGTGGCAGCATTTCACATTAGTAGTAGCATTCACTCATTTGTATCTTATGAATAGACCTTTTTCGTAATAAATTTACTAGCTGTTTAACCGCTTTGTTAGCTGATTCTTGTTGTTTGACAATGATTACAATTAATTCTCTCCAAGAACTTGAATGTCTCCGATAGCACCGGCAACTGTCCGTTTTGGGGAGTTGTCCGCTTTATGGGGAGCCGACTGTATTTGTGTCAGTTCAAGTCGTACCAGCGCTGACTCAGTTGTGGACAAACTCCTAGTTACCAGCGGAAATTTCCTGGTGGCCTTGGAGCAGGCTCCGCGGTGGTGGAAAAAGAAAAAGAAGAATTGGCGAGCGAAGCGAGCCCAGTTGTAGACACTCGCCGATTTTTTTTGTTCCACCGCGTAGCCAGCCAGGTCCCAGCCTAATTTCCTTTGGCATTGGTTGGTTTTTGTAGGGACTGGGGCGAGGCTGGGAGGAAAGGTGACTCTGATAGTAATGAGTTTACAACAAGACTGCAGAAAGAAGAGGACGACAAAACGTTTGTGTGTGACAAACGTGACGGGGCTATTACTTGCGTGTTTTGTCGTGATCTTGACCAAGCATTACATGTGTTCTGGTCTTTCACAAAAAGTTCTGTTTAACTAAGAGAGGTGAAGTTTGACGGAATTATTATTTTTTTGCCAGCACAATTATTGTCACGTTTGTCACACTAGTGTCTCGGTAAACTGAACTACCTGTGACATTCTAATCTCTGTTCAAACTGGACATTGTTGACACGAATGGTCTGCGTTGAATGCTAAGAATTTTAAAGGGTCTCACGGGGAATGTGAAGCAAAAATACAGACGATATCACACGGTTTGTGAATCTTTATTATGTTTACAGCATTGTACTTATATTTCTATGGCTGATAAAGTATTCCCTTCCATAATGCTATGGATTTTGGGTATCCCGCTTCGACCTGTCTTGCTATCTGGTTGAAACGGTAAAAGAGGTTTTGTTTAAAGAAAAACACGAGACCACTGCCCGACTTGAACACCGTATCGAGGTTATCTGGTATGCCTTTCCAAAACGAGGTTATTGGCTGGGGGTAGCCTGGGTCTACCGCTTGGAGAGAATCATTGAAGCGGTAGTAAAAAGAGTCTTTGAAGAAATATGTGATGTCATCAGTGTACCTGCCAACACAATAGAGACACGTGCTTTATTGCGGACCAAGCTTGAGGTCATTATGGCTGGATTTTGGACTAGACGGAGGAGAAGTCGAATATTCAGTCATCTTTACCGATAAAGCTTGGTAAAAAAGGATTCGTCATTTAGCAAAAACAATTACAGTAAAAGCCCGCGAGTAAGAACCTTAGCCTAAACAGGTTCTTTCATAAAAGACAATCAGCAAAAAATTTAGGATATTTAGGTTCTTAGTAGATTCATATTTTCTGAAGTACGAAGTTGGTAGCCGGATGAGGCACTATGTCTCCAAAGAGCATCTTGAACGTTGACTTACAAGTGTTCAGATTTTTTTCATTACAGATTTTAGAAAAAAAGAACCTGTTCCAAATTTTAGGCTAAATATGCAGGTTCTTGTATAGAGGGGGCCGAAACGGCAAATTTTAGCCTTACAGGTTCTTATTCGCGGTTTTTTCTTGTATTCACAATTTTCTTTTTCAAATTGAACAGTCTAAAAAAGCAGATACCTTTTTGCAACCTCAGATTTCACGCAAAGGTCAACTGTACCTGAAAACTGCGCTCACGTTATTAGGAACTCCCTTCCAAAACGAACTTATATTGCGTGGATATCCATCTTGTACACGCTGCGTCGCATTATTGTACCGGAAATAGATGTCATCTTTAAAGAAGTAAGCGTAACCATCAGTCCAAACAAACGCTGCGTCCACATCTACTGGCACTCCTCCCCAGGCTGCCAGAGTGCGAGGATATCCAGGATTAACTTGGTTGATCTGTTCGTTGTATGACCAGTATTTGTCTCCTTTGAAGAAAAACATGGAGCCATTTACGTGTCTAGGGAGAATAACAAACCAAATCGACAGAAGATTTATAATAAATGGAGGGAAAAAAGGAAGGTATCTTCCATCCCTTTGTAAGTCTCACGCCATGTAGGGGTATCTTAGGCAGCCTTGGATTCTGAATTCCAGTAACAGTATTCCAGTGTTTGTCAGTGGAACTTGGATTCTGGATTCTGGATTCTGATTGTTAGTGGGATTCCAGATTCCTTGAGCTGTATTCCGGATATATGATTCCACAAGCAAGATCGATCATTCCCGGATTGTGGATTCCACATGTAAAACTTTTCCGTATTCCCTCAAATGGGGCGATAACTCTAATGCACTAATCAAAAGGAAAAGTGCGAGGACAGCCCATCTAATTTAATTTAGTAGCTAGCGCTACTAATTCGTAACCGCAACTCTCAAACACACGTACCTAAATGCAGCATAACCAGAAATGTTGGGGTCATCGTTCCACCACTTAGTTACAGACTCCGGGTAACTGGACAGGATACCTATAGAGTCAGAGCTATGTAAAAAGAACCAAGTCTGGGTATCCTTGAACACGTACACGCCTCCATTGTACCAGGTTAAGGCACTTTCTATGTCGTTAGGGAACCCGTTCCAGTAAGAGCTCAGTTGACGTGGATACCCAGGGTCCACTCTTAGGCAGTTTGGATTAAACCTGTAGTATTTTGTTCCTTTGAAGAAGTATGTGTACCCATTTGAATAGCTGGACAAAAACAGAAGGGCGAGAGAAACAGCGTATTAGTGAAGAGCACATTATAAAACAAGTGGGGCCTGGGGCCCGTTTCTCGAAAGTCCCGGTAACTTTTCAGGCCCGAAATCAAATATTCAAATCGAAATATAAAGAATAAGAGCGCGGGTCCCAGCTAGCAGACTACTCCATTTTGTTTCACTAAGTGATGGTTTTATCATGCTAGATGCAAAACTTTTGAAACCTCGATCTTTAATGCAAACGGCAACAGCTTACCGGGCCCGTTAATTATCGGGACTTTCGAGAAACGGGCCCCTGGTTGCTACGATAAAAACAAAACATATTTAAGTTTAATGAAGGATAAAGAAGTGTTTCATGTTCATGAGAAGGAAATATGGCTCTTACACCTTGTATAATAGAGCATAATGAAATTTAATGAACAAAAACATTTTTCTCTGTGTCGTTGGACTGTGGCAGGTTTTCGTCATTCCTGCAGTGAGCTAAAAATACTATAAGAGTTTTTGAGGTTAAGTCCGAAACTCTCTCAGGTCGGACACCGCTGGGGCAATATTGGCGACAATGTTACGCACAATGTTGCCGTTAAACTCTTCTTTTAATCATTACAATATTTGTTATAGTGGAGATGCCATGTTATGTCACGATAATTATGTTAAGTCTTAATGAAGGTCACGTCGGACTGCGGTTGGATATTTTATGTTCCCGAGCTTCGAGTGTCAGTCTTGGAGAGAATTCTAACTGAGGCAGAGGGAGTAAAAGCGAGAGGGATTAAACTCTAGGTTAGGAAGGTGTTAAAGATGTGTGCTCTACTTCAGTAGAAATATAGCATTCATTTGTGTGGCGACAAAAGACGAAACAACATCCATTTGTTGTAGATCCAGGAAAGTCTTACTCAATGACGTCATCAATATCATCGGGCACTCCCAGCCAGAAGTTGCTTATCGGCCGTGGATATCCTGAGTCCACACTCAAAGACGAGTCGTTAAACCTGTAATACTGGTTTCCCTTGAAAAAGTACGTTATTCCATTTACATAGCGAAAGACTCCATCTATTGAAGAAGGGATTCCATTCCAGTGATCCCTGATTGGACGTGGGTAGCCTGGATCTATTCCGTGACGTGTTTCATTGTAGCGGTAGTATCTAGACCCCAGGAAAAGATAGACAAACCCATTTGACCAACGAAAGGCAGCGTCAATTCTGCAAGGCCCTTTAAAATGAAGTTGAAGAAAAAGCGAAAATAATCACAAACTGAGATGCAAACATTGAACTTATTACAAACTGCTGTCTGGTTCCCTGTGAAATGATTTTTTTTGGCGCATGTGCTTTTGCGCGAGAGCGCTGACATTTATTGAGTAAATTTTAAGGGCACCCATTTTTCACCCCCTCCCCCATATCACCGGTATTGTACAGCAACTATTTGCAAATGCCTCAAGGTGGGCCATGCAGAATGTTCGTACGAAGCTGCACTGTGGCCTGAGGGGCTAGCCAGCTTTGAATTATTTGTAGGCCTGGCTAACTTTCATTTCCACCTATCCTAAAAATTGCCCGCATGAATAGTACGCGCTGACCTCACCAACGCCTTTTAGGTAACATCAACAACGCATAATTTATTAGAAGCGTAGAGTGATCAAACCAAAAACTCCAGTGTGATGAAACCAAAAACTCCAGTGTGTACAAATGACCCGCCCTACGAAAAACACAAGATTATGTTTTCTTGAAGAAGCTAAAATTATTAAAAAAAAACAATTAAAAAACCTGTGCCGAACAAAACCTGAGTTAAACAGCGAGATTTGGCAGTCATAAATTAAAAAAATTCTTGCTAGCTGGTTTGTAAACATTTCTTTGTAAAAAAAATTGTAAATTGTTTTTTTACCCACGTAGCACTTAGGAGTTCATATGAACTCGTTTAAACGTGTGCGTTCGTTCCAGATCGAAAAGGAATTTGGAAGTGTTGGTTTTTGAAGAGAGGGGAAAACCGGAGTACCCGAAGAAAAACCTCTCGGACCAAAGGAGAGAACCAACAACAAACTCAACCCACATATGGCGTCGACGCCGGGATTTGAACCCGGGCCACATTGGTGGGAGGCGAGTGCTCTCACCACTAAGCAAAGTTGTCAAAAAGATTTAAGTAGTAGGAGAATAAGAGAAAGTGCCGGCACGGTTTTCCGGCGGGGCCGGTAGTGGAAGACATATCACTATTGATATAAACAGTTCAATCTAGGTTAGCAGCAGCTGTCAAACATGATAGCATCGATACTGCGTCTGAATTACTAAGTGAAACTTTGGTGGAAACATGCAATTGCAAAGAAGCCGGATGGAGTAAAGCAAGAGGCAGCAAAATTAAATGGAAATCACAAATAAAATGGTTGGATCAGAACTGCAAAACAGAAAAAGAAAACTTCCAATCCCTGGGGAGAAAATTTCTCATAACATTAATAATTCAGAACTGAGACAACTACTGCGAGGCAAAAAGAAGAGGTTCAAACAAACTTGTAGACGGAAGAAACGGGAGTCTATGAGCAAATTAAAGGCATGTCTAATATCGATATGCAGAAATCCAAAGAGACCTGGCCACAAATAGGAAAAATCTTTAACTTAGGAAAAAGAAAAACACATGGAGCTGAAGCAGTGAGTACGGAACTTAAAGTTTTATAAATACTTTAAGCAACAGAATTTAATGCGACCCCTCTCAATAATATACTAGATCCGGAGACGAATATGGAAACCCACAGTAACGAAAGAGTAGAAGGCCCAATTGATTATCCAATAACTGATGAGGAGTTCGAAGCTGCAATTAAGAAACTGAAGGCAAACAAATCTCCAGGTATCGATGATATATTAAATGAAGTAATAAGAACCGGAAAGGAAGCCATTGAAGGGCATTTAGTAAATTTATTTAATCGAATCTTAGATACAGGCGAATACCCTGCTTTTTGGAGTTTTGGCCCCATTGTACCCATTCACAGGAAGGATGATCGATCCAAAGTCGAAAATTACCGAGGTATCACTTTGCTCTCTGCGCTAGGCAAGCTCTTTACATAAATCCTCAACAATCAACTGTACGACTACATATATGGTTAAAAAAGGAATTTTGGAAGCTGAACGAGGTGGACTCAGAAAAATGCATGGCACATTTGATAGCATTTTTACATTAAAAAACTTATTGACAAGTACGTGAAATCTAAACCACAAAGGCACCAAAATCTACCCTTTTCATATTTCGTCGAAATTAGAAAAAGCCTTCCACTGTATACCCCGACAGAAACTAGTCGACAAACTGAGAAAAAGGTGTCCAAGGACGTTTCTTGGACGTTTTAATATCCAGTACTCAAATGATACATCGGCAGATGAAAATGATGACAAATTAAGCCAATTATCCTTTACTTGTAAAGGAAAAGATGCATGTTATCACCTACAGTTTTACATTTCTATAGGTAGGACAACTCATGTCACTAGGGATATATGTGTTTCCCGGGTAGGGAAAAGAAATCACTATGGATATGTCTTGTGCAGGTAGGGGAACGCATATAACAATGAATATGTGCTTCCCAGGTTGAAAAACACATATCACTTGGGATGTGTTTCTCGGGAAGAGTAATACATATCACTAGCGATATGTGTTTCCGAAGTTGGGGAACGCATATCACTAAGGATATGTGTTTCCCAGGTAGGGAAACACATATCACTAGGGACTAGAGATATGTGTGTCCCAGGTAAGGGAACAAATATTACTAGGGATACATGTTTCCCAGGTGGGGCAACACATATCACTAGGGATACGTGTTTTCCAGGTGGGGCAACACATATCGCTAGGGATATGTGTTTCCCAAGTAGGGGAAAACATATCACTAGGGATATGTGTTTCCCAGGTGGGGAACACATATCACTAGGAACTAGGGAAATGTGTTTCCCAGGTAGGGGAACAAATATCACTAGGGATACGTGTTTCCCAGGTGAGGGAACAAATATCACTAGGGATATGTGTTTCCCAGGTAGAGGAACACATATCACTAGGGATACGTGTTTCCCAGGTGGGGGAACACACATCGCTAGGGATATGTGTTTCCCAAGTGGGGAAACACATATCACTAGGGACATATGTTTCCCAGGTAGGGGAACACATATCACTAGGGATACGTGTTTCCCAGGTGGGGGAACAAATATCACTAGGGATATGTGTTTCCCAGGTATGGGAACGCATATCACTAGGATATGGGTTTCCCAGGTGATGGAACACATATCACCAGGGATATGCCCAGGTAGGGAACACATACCACTAGGGATACGTGTTTTCCAGGTGGGGGAACACATATCGCTAGGGATATGTGTTTCCCAGATAGGGGAACACATATCACTAGGGATATGTGTTTCCCAGGTAGGGGAACACATATCACTAGGGATATGTGTTTCCCAGATAAGGGAACACATATCACTAGGGATATGTGTTTCCCAGGTAGGGGAACACGTATCACTAGGGACTAGGGAGATGTGTTTCCCAAGTAGGGGAAAACATATCGTTAGGGACTAGGGATATGTGTGTCCCAGGTAGGGAAACAAATATCACTAGGGATACGTGTTTACCAGGTGGGGGAACAAATATCACTAGGGATATGTGTTTCCCAGGTAGAGGAACACATATCACTAGGGATACGTGTTTCCCAGGTGGGGGAACACACATCACTAGGGATATGTGTTTCCCAAGTGGGGAAACATATATCACTAGGGATATGTGTTTCCCAGGTGATAGAACACATATCACTAGGGAGATGTGTTTCCCAAGTAGGGGAACACATATCGTTAGGGACTAGGGATATGTGTGTCCCAGGTAGGGAAACAAATATCACTAGGCATACGTGTTTCCCAGGTGGTGGAACACATATCACTAGGGATATGTGTTTCCCAGGTAGGGGAACACGTATCACTAGGGACTAGGGAGATGTGTTTCCCAAGTAGGGGAAAACATATCGTTAGGGACTAGGGATATGTGTGTCCCAGGTAGGGGAACACATATCACTAGGGAAACGTGTTTCCCAGGTAGGGGAACATATATCACTAGGAATACGTGTTTTCCAGGTGGGGGAACATTTATCTCTAGGGATATGTGTTTCCCAAATGAGGGAACACATATCACTAGGGATATGTGTTTCCCAGGTAGGGGAATACATATCACTAGGGATACGTGTTTCCAAGGTGGGGGAACAAATATCACTAGGGATATGTGTTTCCCAGGTGATAGAACACATATCACTAGGGAGATGTGTTTCCCAAGTAGGGGAACACATATCGTTAGGGACTAGGGATATGTGTGTCCCAGGTAGGGAAACAAATATCACTAGGCATACGTGTTTCCCAGGTGGGGGAACAAATATCACTAGGGATATGTGTTTCCCAGGTAGAGGAACACATATCACTAGGGATACGTGTTTCCCAGGTGGGGGAACACACATCACTAGGGATATGTGTTTCCCAAGTGGGGAAACACATATCACTAGGGATATGTGTTTCCCAGGTAGGGGAACACATATCACTAGGGATACGTGTTTCCCAGGTGGGGGAACAAATATCGCTAGGGATATGTGTTTCCCAGGTAGGGGAACGCATATTACTAGGGAAATGTGTTTCCCAGGTAGGGGAACACATATCAGTAGGGATATGTCTTTCTTAGGGAGGGAAGTTGCTTCACAAAAAAGAACATGCATGTCAATGTTAAAACAACTTCTTTTTTTTTTTTTCTATTTTACAAATTTTTTAATGGTCCATTTTTTTTGCTTCTTTTCTACAATTTACAGACGGCAAAAACCTTAAAGCAGCCGGTGATATCGCCGGTTGTCGGCGCGCGCATTTTGAGAACCCTGCTAAGCCACGCATTGCTCCCCTTTGATGTACTCGTGTTGCATATGCATGCTTTTTCAGTTTTATTAAAATACGCTTGTCATGGACACATTTTCTTGCATGTAAGTATGACCTTTCAGGTATGAACATTCTTTTGCGTCTTCTTTTTTACCCGCAGACTGACTTAAAGTAAATAAGTTATGTAAGTGAACACACAAATAGGGAAGATATGCAGTTATGTGTACAAGGTGTTAATTATTTCATCTTTGACAGTGGGTTGTTTCAATTTCGCTTTTTCTTGAGAGCATGATTTTTTATTAATGAAGTATTAGCTCCTTTTTTGACCAAACTATAGTTTGAAATACTATTAGAGTTCAACCTTGTTTGTGACATTGGTAAGGGGTGAAGCCGATAGGGGATTTATGCTCTTACCCACTCTGTTGTGCATGCAGTCCTCATATTTGTTTAGCATTCACTTACTGTAGATATTTTCCATCAATGTTGGCTTATACCGCTTGACGTCGCGCAGCATTTTGTCGATCTGCCCAGGACTGAACTCCCTCGTGCAATTATCTTCCATGTCTGTGGAAAAAAAAAAGATGATAAACAAACGAATTAAACAAACGAATTGGAATAGAAAGAAAGTCATTTGTGACTGAAGTTTTTGGCTATAATACTTACGAGTTGATCACGACAGCTCAGTAGTGTTAAATTATTATAATTTATTCGCTACTTATCTACCAGTTATTTAGGGTAAATGCAATGTTATTGTTACTCATGGATTAGGTGGTACCTTATGAAGCGTTTTCACTAATTTTTGGTTTTAATAGTTACTCAGCACGTGCTAAGCATTCTGGAGTTCCTGTCACAGAGCATTTTCTATTTCGGTGCTACCCTAAAGATTTGAGATTACAAATACTCACCGCTCATGTAATTGTTAATTGGGTCCAGGCCACTCTGGGCCTTACAAGTATCCAATTTTTCGTCAGTGCAAACGTGTGTATAATGTCTGCAGCGCGGAGTGTCTGCAACTTCGTCATCCTCGCGATCACACCCACCCTGCATAAAAGAAATGAAATATAATGTAGTCGGCAAAAAAACTACTGCCATTTATGCCAATTAACCAGTCAGGGCTAAACGAACCCTCACCTAGTGGGAGAAATAAAGCACTCCAAGTCCTTGCAATTTTAAAACCTTTGCGGGGAAGAGGTTCTTTTTAACAAGTTTGGAAATCTAGCCAGATATTAGTTAGCGCCCTGTTCGCAAACATTCATCCTTTTGAAAATTTTTGGAGAAGACTAGATAAAATGCCCCTATCATGAGCACCTGAGCTGTGAGAATTTACCAACAGTAGTAGTCTTCGTTTGGCTTTAGAGGAATGGGGTAGTTGAGTTCGGAGGGATGAGGTCTAGAGATTCAATTGTTCTATTTGTTTCTGGGTTTGTTTTCAGCTCTCACCAGGAGGCTTCTTATACACATACCTCACAGACGTCGTAGAGCCCAAAGAAATGACCAATCTGGCAAGGCAATAAACATTTTAAAACACACAAAGTCAAATTAAAGCTTAATATCATTAGAAATAGTAAAATAGTTGAGTTGAAAACTTTTTATAAATTTGGTGTAAAACTCTTAAATGCCTACTTATGACGCGTTCTGATCGTTTGGGTAGATAATATAAACTGTGACTGCCCCAGGATATTAATCTCGACCAATCAAAACTAGTTAATGCCGCCTTTTGTGAGCAATGTTAATTTTCGGAATTATATGTTCATACATGCAATGTTTTAATTATTTTATTCACAGCTTTCATTTTTGTCTTATTTGACTTTAATGTATTTTTTACGTTATTTATATGTATTGATGTGTTTCTAGTAATTTTGATAGATTTATTTTCTCCGGAGATATTAGCAATTTTGCTATCAACAGTCAAATAGGCCATTTTCATGATGACGATACTGGTGGTTGTAGTGATATGAAGTCATCGTGAAATTGTCCTTTTTGAAGTCAAGTCTCTGACTGATTGATTGATTGTTTATTTGTTAATACCTAAACGGTGCAGAACGTGAATACATGATAGAGGAAAAAAACGAGATAAACGATTAAGGATGTCAGTGGAGGGCTAGAAAAACATAAACATTTAAAAAGACAAATGAAAATTGAACATTTCAGACTAACTTTTTCTGAATTAAGGCTTGCAACCCTCCCTATCTCTCTAGTCTCAGAACAGTCTATCATAAAATTTATTCAGTGATCGAAGTAATTGCCGAATAAGCCACCCCATAACTTACAGGGAGAATGGATACAACGTCTTGGCATAATGATTACTGGGATCGTACGGGTCTACAATGTAAAAAATGGTAGGTAAATAGTTTCCTTGTTTTGCATACCATCTACCTATCCTCCTACACAGAAGTTATTGGGGCTCCGTCACGCGTTCTTAAGGATGTTTGCGTGGGAGGCTAAACATTGACCAATCTCATACATTACGCTTGTCCACTAAACGATCTCAAAACCGTTGGGCTACATGCTTGTACCCATTCTCCCTGCAGTTTATGTAGTTGGGAATTGAATTACCTGATGCACTAAGATATGCCCGAGGTTATAAGTCGCCATTCGTCCATTAGGTAGAGTTTCATGATGAATTGCCACAGCATGGATAACATCTGACTCGTGATCAAACCAAGGAAACGTATAGTCGCCTAACAGAGGACCACGAAACTGACAGGTGTAAACGTTGAGGGTTGTTGCAGGAGAAATGGCGAGAGCCGGTCTCATTTTAAACCTCTCCTCTTTACACCTGTTAAACCAGACATCATTGGTTGTCCTGTCCACTGAATGCTATAAATAATCCCGAGAAAATTCAAATTCATGATTAGCCAGACTTAAATCGTCAGGGTGGTCAGTCAATTTGTCAAGTCAACAGTTTGATAACCCATACAGTTACGTCAGGAAAAAGGCGAAATATCCTATAAGTCAGACAAACTTTATAAGAGAACATTTGACATACGTACACCAACCCATGAACGACCTGCGCAAAACCTCATGCATGCGCACAGTCATATCATGGCTGCCACTAACTGGTTGACATAGCTGCGCATGTGTTAGTTACTGGCCAGACCGTGGGTTGGTATACGTTTGCTCGCTTGCTCTCTTTAGTTTGAAATATCTCATAAAAACAGCAGTTGGAATGTCCTTTATCCGCATTAAGTTTTAAAGGACTGTGTTAAATTGTAAAAACACATCAAATTTTGCAACAAATTTGAACAACTCACCGTCTTAAAACGAAATGGTGTTTTTGAGAAAGCCTCTAAGGATAGAAAAATAGTTTCTCAGTAATGTTTGAATAATTCAACAACTTATCAACGAGAAAAAAATAACGCAATGTCGTGATCATTATGTTAATTCTTACCGTTTAGAACACGTATCTGAGTCTCCAACTGGACGTCTGACACGTTACCCCTTCCCTCTGAGTTCTGGATCACGTGCCATGCAATAGGCACAAGATATTGCTCTTTACACTGGATGTTGCTGTTTCCCAAGTCACTGTATGCGTCCAAATCGTGCCTCTGAATAGCGTTTTTCATCAACAACCTCTCAAACTGAGGAACATAAGGAGCTGATGCTTTGTCCGGCCGCTTTTTTACGGCCTCTTCAACACCACATTTCCGTTTTAAAATTGTCGTTCCTCCGTAAGGACAAAAAGCAAGAAATATTGCCAGCCATTGGCTACAGAGATCAAAGAAACATGTCTATCGTTCAGTGAGTAAATGCTCAACTTTATAAAAAAAATATTAACACGTGATCTGCTGTGTCGTAGAGACCTCTTTCCTGCCACCGCAAAATTGAAAAACAAGAAGACCCTAGGGACGAGGTTGGGCCTTGATTGGTGAAGCAACCTGTGAGCAGAGGCGTCCCTTTGTCTTTTTCTTAGACGGAGGGGAGAAAAGGATACCCCCTGTGTGCCTGAATAGCTTCAAGCTTATGAAGTCTTTTAGAGCCAAACCTCTAGACTAGTCAATCTGGTTTCCTCTCGTCAAACTGTTTTTTTTTTTAAGTACAAGATCCCGTTTATTGCCGATAAACCGATAGTCATAACTGAGCCCGCTGTACCAAGCGACTGCGCAGGGCTGCTTCCTAACAACAAGCAGCGCATGCTCAACAAATATAATACCCCGGATTCATGTTCTCGAGGCTCCAAAATCGAACACGCAAGAAAAGGACTGTGCTGCTGATGGCATAGGGGTGTGTGTTTCCTTCTGCTCATAAAAATTTCCACAGTGCAAAACGACGCCAATCCATCCCAGACTAATGGGTCATACTTTGATTCTTTTCAGGTTTCTACGTACTTAACCTGAGCCTTTTTGTGGCAAAAAACATGTTAGAAATATTGGAGTAGGATCTGTCATTTTCCGCTAGCTCGTTTTTGTTTTTGTTACAATAGTGTTTATTTAGCATGTAGCATTTCACCTTGTTTCGTCAGAAACAAAGGCGTACTTACCTTGAATTCAGCACAAAATGAAATGACATCTCATTTAAATGATGTCTAACCAGTTGCTGGATAAGTTAACTTTTACATAGAGTCAAGTCGATGTACTCGGAATGCTTACAGTTTCTTTAGTTAGAGTGGAGCCGTTTCGTATCAAAAGCAAGCAACTTACTAAGTGAACAGAATTTAAAGCACGTTATTAAATCCATTCATAAAAATAAATATACTTCAAAGAGACAAGTATTAAATATGAAACCTTGTTGAAAACACGTTTTAAAATTAATCAACTGTCAATCACACTTTGAATTTGATTATTTATTAGCCTAGGGCTAGTCTGTTACAGACATTCATGCAGGTTGTTGTCAATGGAAAATTGTTTCAACTGGCTAGTATATTGAGTACGATGGAAACAAAAAAGTAAGGCATGCCACAGCCGGTCCGTCTATCACATCAACCTTATTAGAACTCATAAAACTGCACGGAAACTATTAATAAATATTTAATCTTAACAGAGAGAGAGAGAGAGGAAAATTGTTGAGCACTATTCAGCATAAAAATTTCCTTTTCCTTTTAATATATGAGAAACAAAAATGACTCTACAGCTTACATTTAATTTCCCAGTAACAGTAAACGAGATTGCTTGTACCAAGAGACAAGAATTAATCTTTTCGATTCGGGAGAAGCAAGAGAAGGCAGTGGAAAAATTACTTTCACGAAAACGAAAGTAATATTATTTTAAAGGGAAATTACAATTCTGACAGCAAAAAGTGCTAAGTACACTTTTAATGTATAAATCGGAAAACTCTCCATGATGCCGGAAATCAGCCCCTACCTGATTTGTACTTTGTTTTCATCAGCTGTTTGATTTCCCAAGTTGCAAGTAACTTGACCATTTACATAAAGCCTTTAAGACTTGAGACCTTGCACAAAAGGATTTAGCTTGATCACTAGCAGAGAAACACAATAATAGATAATAATAGATAAGGAACTTGGAAGTTAGGGAAATACCAACTATTGAAAGATGCGAAAAGTCATTGTAGTGCCTGTTGTTATTGGGGCCCTTGGAGCCGTATCAGTCAACTGTAAGGAGTACATGAAGCAAAACGGCGTGAACTTGAGGTTGGAAGTTATCCAGAAAACAGCATTGTTGGGGACAGCAAAGATACTAAGGAAAGTACTGTTCCTTTAAGAAAAAGGAAAAGAGAGACCTGGGACCCGTGGTGACTTGTTGTAACCCGCCCCAAGGACTATAAACCAGGCCGAACATCCTGAGTCTACAAGGAATGGACATCATCATCATCATCATCATCATCATCATCATCATAACAATAATAATAATAATAAGGCCAAAAGACCCGACATTGCAATCAAGAATAAACAGGAAAAAAGCTGCTTGCTTATTGATATGTCCGATCCCCACTGAAAAGAACACTTCAGTTAAAGTAGGTGAAAAACTGTCAAAAAATATAAAGACCTTGAAATCGAAATTGAAAGAATTTGGGGTAGGAAAGCCATAGCAATTCAGGTAGCGCTAGAAGTCCTGGGACTGATAAAGAAAGGATTGGAGAAATATATACAACAAGTCCCGGATAACATCAAAATAAAACACGAACTACTGAAGATCACACTACTTGGAACATCTCGCATCCTAAGAAAAGCCCTCTCTATCAAATAGACTTCTAACTCATTCTAACCTAGCCCTAGGAATGGGCTGGGCTATTATGTTGTATGTTGTATTATGGTATAAATCAAGTTAAAACAAAGAAGATAGATAATAATAATAATAATAATAATAATAATAATAATAATAATAATAATAATAATAATAATAATAGATCTTGCAAAGGAACTGAGAAAACTGTGGAATCGAAGGTCAAAACAAGAGTTGTGCCTATTGTTGTCGGGGCACTTGGAACAATCCCAAAATGATTAGTTTGCCATCTTTAAAGCACAGGCTCACATTCAAAAGACTACCCTGTTAGGAACAGCACAAATCCTCCGACGGGTTCTCGCCTACTAAGGTTGCAGGAAGTGACTTGTGCCGCTGGTTACCAGTTCACTACCACTACCACTACCACTACCACTGCCACTGCCACTGCCACTGCCACTGCCACTTCCACTGTCACTGCCACTGCCACTGCCACTACTGCTACTACTAAAGATAAACCGAGTGTTTGCATGCGTCTCTGAGTTCGATGAACTCAGATTGCGACTCATGATAGTACAGTAAGTAAGCAATTGCCTTTTTCCTCACAGCAGCGTCGGCGTCAAGAGCAAGATGTTACGCACAAGATTCTCTGATGAGTTTTGTGATTTTTGGTCTTAAATCTTTATACAACCGCTACCAGCTTAATGCCTGCCACGCGACTCCGCCGGAGTTCCGAGGGAGTTCCGCGGGAACAATAAATAGAATCGCTCAGAAGCGTTCTCGCAGCATCGACGTTCGTTGTTCTCTTTTCAATTACATACGGAACCTGTTTAGTAGTCTTCTCGGGTAAGGACGATGAACCGTACTAGGCCCCGATTCACAACACTTACACTTAATATTAAATTCTGTGGGACGATAAAGGACCCACTCTGTGAAGGTGTAGGAGGTGTGAATAGCTTATTCTATTCGTTCTGTGGTGGCCTATTCACAGCGACACAAAGCATGAGGGCATCGTTACTCATTCCTTCATTACTTGTACTTTGCTTCGTCATATAACTAAGCCGTCCGGCAAAAGTCCCCCAACTATAGTTGTAACTGTATCTTATCCGATCCACTCTCCTCAACGCTTCTCAGGGATAAAAGCCTTAATTGAGGGGAGTGGATCAACAATAATAATAATAATAATAATAATAATAATAATAATAGTAATAACCTTCGGTTACCATGCTCAGAACCTACAAAATAGATAGCTTAAAATCAAAAATCATGGTTTGCAACGGAGAACGGGCATTCGCTTTCTTTTTCTTTCTACTTTTAATTTACGAGAAACATGCATGATTTTCGGTGAATTGAATAAATCTGTTCATTATTTAAGGTAAACTAAGTAAAGTTACCGATCCACCAAATGAATGTAATTATTATTCGAAAAAATCCAACTTAAAAAAGAGCGACATCGATTTATATCCGAAACATACCTCTCAGAGTGTGTTTGATTAGCTTTGATTATACTGTATGAATACTAATGCAAACCTCCATTGTTTTGAACAAATTACTTTTAATAAATGGAACTGAGAGCAGATCATTATGGAAACAGCAGAGTTCACTATTTTTAATAACGAGCTCCGTTTTCACTTTAGTGATCAGAACCTGCTAGATCTTACCCTGGGTTCCAGAGGATTTTTTTCTTCTTAACGCGGCTTCGCCGCGAACCGTCAGTGTTGATAAGAAAAAAATATCCTCTGGAACCCAGGGTAGCTAGATCTAGAACAACAGAAAGATCCAGAAAGGCCGGTTCATTAAATCGGCCAACTAAGGCATTATCCTAAATGTATTTTCCACAAAGTTTCTTGTTGAAAAAAAGTTTTAAAAAATCAGTCATGGTGTAAAGTTGCTGCATATTGAATGTGTCAGGTGGGAAATAAACATTTTTCCTTAATTGTTACGACGTTGCCTTGCTTTCACTGTAAGTAAAGCAAGACATTCAAATTAAAAGGAGAAAAACATGAAAAGAAGAGAAATAATTAACTTGCTGGGAGACTGTATCGGGTGGAAACACCTTTGAATCTAGAGAATGACAGACCCACGGCTTTCGTTTTAACATGGTGCGAAAGAACAATTGGTTTGTGGCTAATTATAATCCGCGGCTTTGAATTTCTTGGAGGATATTACAGCTAAGCAAGGTTATCAGGGTTAATGAGTTAGAAGAATCGAGTTTATAGTCAGTCCTCTTAAAGGAAACACAAATACCACCATCTGAGGTCTCATATATAGGAAGAAGCAGAACGAATAAGAGAGGACATAAAGAATCATCGTTGCATTTTATTAGAGCAACACAACGCAGGTAAAGGTCTTTTTTTCTAGTCATTTCGCTTTTTTGTCAACATGAAAGTGTTAATTTTTAATAATTCCAAAACGAACAAAGCGTTTGAAAACATTTTTTTGCGGAGGCAAAGAAATTCTTGATTTGTTATCTCTAAATTGCCTGTCAGCTATCATTTTGTCATTCTGACTTAAAACGGACACACACTCACACACACACACAAAAGCTTTCATTATAAAGTTCCTATATTTCAGAGCGCCGTTATATAATTTCAAATTCCGTAAACTTTTATTCTACGCACTCATATTTTTTCGATTAATCCCTGTCACAGCGGCTTCTCGTCTTTTACCGAAGTTCTTTAATGCTCTTTCAAAAAATGAGTATATAGAAATACGTTTTTAAATGTATGCTGCTTAGTTTAGTGAGTACTTAGCTTATAGACCTTGTATTTTCTGTTTAGAGATCGTCGAGCGGACGTATTAAAATAAAAAAAAAACCCGGCGGGTGATTTATTGGCGAAACTAAGAAAACAATGTCTGCGTGAACATATGCTTTGTTTATATAATAGTTCCTGTTTCCTCAGGTAAAATAACGGACTTTTCATGGGCCTCGGATAACTGAAAAAAATATTTTTTCAGAGTGCTGGCTAATCATCTTAGTTTATAGTCTTTATATCGAGGGAGGAAGATCCTAGCGCTACAATAATTATAATAAGAAGTAAGTTCTTTTTACAGATGGCCTATGTCACATAATGTGGTTTTCAATAGGGCACTGCATCAAAAACTAAAAACTACAGTACTAAAAATGACAAAATATCAAACTAGATGAACTAAAAAATGTTACACTAAGCGAACTTATTGAGATTGAAAATTTTTCAATAATGAAATTTTAAAAGCATTTTAAGGTAGACATCTCATGTCTTCTGGAAGGGAATTCCAGCATTACTCACTAGAGAGCCTTGAAGGCGGATCATCATCATTGCTAGCGCCATATGTTTTCTGTGCTCAGTTTACATTCAAAAAGTTGTAATTGTCCTTGACGCTTAAGCAAGACTAGCAAGACTGAGGTAGATCTATGCAAACTGCTTTCGCCAGGAAGATTCTAGTACTAGGGAAAACCACACAAAAAAATTCCTAGAATTCAAATTCAAACGAATTCAATTTCCTACAAGCTTCGAGTCAAGTCCCTCGACAGAGCCAACAGGGAATTGTGGGTAGCGAGTGTTGTTTACGAATGCTGCCGCAGGTACGATGGTTAATGTTGGAGATATAAATAAAATAATATTTCTTAATTAAGCAAGTAGGCACGTCGGTACCAACCCGACAGCACCTTACGCATGCGCACATTGCCATGTTACGGGGGCAGTGGCAGCCCTCAGGTTTCGTTCTTGTTAGGGCTAATCAGCATAGCATGACTACCGGACGGCTATGAACGGACAAAGTCGCTAGTTAAACTGGAAGGCCCTTTAATGCCGAGCTCGAGGCGAGTGCAAACTACTCCTTGAAGGTCGTTTAAGTGCCAGCTCCACACAACTCGTACGCGTAGTAGTGTATGCTTCCTTTGCTGAATTTAGTCTAGTAAATAATTTTTTTTTACAACAAAATAGTCTATTACTTTCTTGCAGCTATCGTCTTTCAACCTACATAAACTGCTTTTTTTAATACATGGAAGTCCTTTTTAAAGCGGATGAGGATAGAGTTTTTACTTTATGTTAATATTTGCTGTGTACTAGAAGAACAGGTGTCTTGAAAGAAGCTGGTTAAAAGTGAAATCTTAAGAGTATATACATTTATCGCCGATTCTTCTATGGCTAGACAAATTCTTTGCTTCGACTCTTGGATGTTCGCAGAATGCCTTGTGACAATCGATTATATTTGCACTTTCTATTTCTTTTTTTTATTATTATTATTCAATGTTTTTAAATGTGCTCAATTAACTGAAGTACACTGAACTTGACTCAGGGAAAAATTAATTTCCGTATCTTAAACTTTCATTTTAAAGCAGATACGTTACTCTGCAGTTCAGTCCAACATGGACCCCCTGCGCGGACCATAGAAAATAAAGTAATAAGAATAGCTGCGGCAGTGACATTTATGTAATTATAAATGAAATAGAGCGCTAATACTGATATATTCTCAGTTATTTAAGCTTATTTAGTTTGCATTTTCATGGACAGAATTGATGGAAACAGGCGGTTTGACGGTTGAGTCGGTTTTAGGCTATAAACGAGAGTACTTTTAGATCATAAGAGATGTATTCTAAGCGGCGCAATAAAACTTGTACCTGTTTGGTCATCGTAGGGTATTGACTCTGTTCGAAATGAAAGGGATTCGGAGAATTTTATATGTTAGATGCAACTGAAAGTATTACGAACAGGTGAGAATTTTTCTGCATAGTTCCTCTCTTCATAGTTTTCGAATCCAAAAATTTTAGGTTTCCTTTTTCTACGCCAACTATAGCTTAACCTGAGGGCTGAGTGAAATGTGAAAAAATAAACTTCAAAAAATCGTGGGGTGTGAATTTTAATATTAGAATTCGAAAATCGAAAATCGTAAATGAATTTAAGAGTCGTCTAGAATTTTCTTAGCCGTTCACAAGCTATAGAACACACATAGGCAATATTAATTTTGCTCCTTTCAACAGACATTTTTTTGTTGCAGAAAACAGTCGATGGAAATACTTCAGATCTGTAATGCTCATGTAGAAATAACCGGCGAAAGTAAAAGAATTAAATCTTTTTACTACGATTTTCCCAATATGTTTTTCCTCTGAGAGGGTAGACTGTAAAACAGCTGTATTATAATACGTCGGCCATGTATACGAGCGTTCGTCGAACCGAAAGACCTGGATTAGGGATGAACTACTCGTATGGATTGATCGCCGTCACACGCAAAAATCAGATCTACGTTTTCGGAGCTTCGCTTCTTATGCTAACTCTGCTCACACCATACTTGATAACTCTTAGTCTCTACACGAAAGGCTATCCAGGATAGTATGAATCTATCCGATATGTAACTCTCCACTTTATAGAAATCTGCGCGGCGCAGCTTCCCTCCATTACAGAAATCACACCGAAATCCGCCCATTTTTTGTGATTATGTGCAGTAAACAGGAGCCCTAACCGCGGTATGATTTTCGTGCCGGAAAAGCCATCCGGTATATTGTGAACATAGCCTTAGGAGCAGCGAAACCGGCTGGAATCTACAATCTTGGACATGGGGGTTTGCTGTTCCATTTTATTTTGTCCAAGATTGTGGCTATAGACTTAGAATCTCGTTATTGTATCGTAATTAATTTGCTCTAATTGATCATGAGTACTTTTGACGTGTATGCAAGAAATCCATTAATCAATTGTGGTTTGCTTTCGGCATTTGTTATTATACGTTGTATTCATTTAACTATAACAGGACGATCAGAGCACCAACAGGCGCAAGTTCGTGGTTAATCAGTAACATTATAAATATATATATTCACCAGAGATAAAAAAAAAATTACATGAAATAAAGAAACGATTATAGATGTACTGAAACATGTTTAAAGGCTAAGAAACGACTAACCATTTACAAAACTATTTACTCTCCAGTGTCGTCTAAATTAAATCCAAACTAACTTGAACTTATTGCGTCATGCAAATTTTCGGCAATTTTACTCTGTTTGACTAAAAGTGAAAACAATTTCTTTTTACCACCTGATATTCATATTTCCACCTTATGATCTATAATTAATCCGGGTTTTAATTTTACCACAAACAAGCTCACGATTCTAGAAGACTGAACAGCTGAGGAAACAAGTATTTTCGATGGCTGAATTCAAGTGTTAAACAATTCCTCCAAGTAATGAAAAGCGAGTATACTATTAGTTAAGAAAAACAACGAAACAAACAAGTCCAACAATTAACATTAATTTTTCAGTACAAGGTTTCGCGCCAACACAGCATCCTATTGCAAATAATTTAAGAAAACGCCGTGTTTCAAGGAGAGAGTTAGAAGGAGTAAATTAAATAATATATTTAAACTCAGAATGCGTTGCAATTTAATAGCTACGGGAGGTATATAACGAAAACGGATTACAACCTGCTGTCGTATTATGCTTCAATATCAATGAAAATGTCATTAGGTATTAATATGTCATCTCTTGCCGTGAACCACTACTAAATATTCGTGAACATTATTGGACACTTAAAATAGCACCCACAGTCAGAAGTTATACAAAACGTTGTTGATCCTTATTCTTGTTCTCTTTCATTAATTTCACAGTTCTCAGGAAAATCTCAACGGATAAAGACGTTCACAAGATTGTCGAATATTTGTGCCATGAAATCGATTATTACTTTTGTATTTGTGCTCAGTTTCTTGATTCTGAGTGTTGGAGCGGGAACGAAGGAGACTGCCGAGCATGATTTTATTTACAAGGCTGCCGCACAGGTGAGCTGAAAATGGATGAAACGTCTTCTTCTAGCCCCAGCCAAAGCAAGTCTTTTCTTGCAAGGCGATCAAAAATGATAATTTTCTATACCCATCTGACGTTTGAAAACGCATTCAAGGACCATAAGTTACCTTACAAATCTGTCTTAAATGCCAGGCCTTGTTCCCCTAGAATGTGAAAACCGTGATAAACAGTTGTGATCGATATAAAGTTGAAACAGCAGGCCTCGCTTAGTCCGCAGTAGAACTAGCTGAGTCGGTAGTCTAAGAGCACTTGTGTCTCGGCAGAGTGGGAGGTCGCGGGCGGGTTCGATTGCTACGGTGACCGGACTAATATTCCGGGTCTTAAAGTAACCGAGAAATAATAGGTACTGCCTTTGCCCTTTGCAAACGGTTGGCTCTGATGACCTCCTAAAATGGCGATCCCGACATCAGTAGGTGACGTAATTTAAGCATGATAGCGTCCTCAATTATTACTTTCGTGCTGAATGCTCCCTTGTGATTTCAAAACTCGACTATTGCAATAGTCTCTTATATGACATCCCAAACTACAAGAGAGATAAGTTATAAAGAATTCAGAATACCGCGGCTCGAATGATAACAGGTGCCCGCAGTTCTGACCACATAACACTTATATTAATAAAGAGCCCGTTGGCTACCTGTGGAAGCAAGGATTAACTTTAAGATTCTTCTTATCACATATAAGACATATAAAATCTTGAATGGACAATCTGCTGGGTATCTGGAATCTCTGATTAAGGAATATTGTTTATCAAGAGCACTACGATCGTCATCCCGTTCGCTATTATGCACCCCAGCCATAAAATCTAAAACATATGGAGGACGCGCGTTTTCCACTGCAGCCCCTCAGATATGGAACACTGTATCCCAGAATATGTCAAAAATGCAGACAGTGTTGCTAGATTTAAAACAAAACTTAAAACATTTTTATTCAGGAAATATTTCTACTGATTTTTATGCCTAACGTTTTCTTGTTTTTTTTTTTTGGTATTTAAAAGTTTACGATACTTGATTTATAATATGTCACATAGGCTGGAGATTTTTCTTATTTTTCTCTTTTTCTCATCATAATGTAGAGCGCATTGGGGACAGAAATGTGCGTAATAATCACCTATATTATTATTATTATTATTATTATTATTATTACTATTATTAATGCATTGACACTCAAAGAAATTCCTCAAACGGTTTAAACTTACAAGCAACTCACTACTGTTATAAAGCTAGTGCCGTTGCAACTAAGTATTAGATTGTCGCTGTGCATTTGTCATCAGAGAAAGGTTTTTTTCACAACTGCAAAAGTTGCGTCTCTGCACTGCAATGATCTTCTTTCATTTCAACCCTCAGTTCTTTTATAAATGATTTTTATGTATTTATTATTTCATCTTCATCTTTTCTTTCGGTGGGGTATGCAAAGAGTAACAATTAATGAATGAGGCTGAGAATCTTTTGAAGAATTATGAAGATCGAGGAGGATATTATCCGTTGAGGCCGTGGGCCGAGGCGGATAACACCCTCCGAGATTTCCATAATTGTTCATATGATACGAAAGACGAATTCAATAATTGTTTTATTATTCATTCAAAATAATTCCTAGTCTAAAAACATGGCTAAAACATGCTTACCTCAATCGATCCATCAATGTTAAGTTCATCTTCGATAGTGCACGTTTAGTTCGAGTTGTCTTCTTGCTGTTCTTGCCATGTTTTTAGCTATTATTTCGCTTAGTTCTTATTCTTGAAACGAGTCAAATGTCCGCCATTTTTGTTTTCACATCCAAAACAACTCAACCTCGTCCCCAGGTCTTCTTGGTTAACGCTGCATTAACCTGCAAAAAAGCTGCACTTTTGACGTCATCGGTTCATTAAACGCAAAATTCTTCCAAATTTGGTTATCAGTATCTGGTTATGGTGAATTATGCGTGTGCTTTTAGCCTATCAGAATCGGGGAAATATTTTGAATCAATAATAATTAACTAATTATCAACTATTAATTATTAATGGTGTTGGGCATAAATATAACATTGTGTTTAAATATTTTGATATTTAAATTGCAGATTTGTAAACCTTACTTTCTCAAATGTAAACAGAATCCAGAAAAAGGAATAAGTGACTGCTTTAAGGATGTCTACTATCGCTGCTTGCCCACGGTGCGTTTACTTCTTGTCCAACCATATTTCCTTTTTCGCTGTTTTCGCCTTTCTAGTTGCTCAGGCTGAGAGGAGGAGGCGAGGGGAAGGGGGGGGGGGGGGGGTGGTTGGTGAGGCGTAGCAGTCCATTCCTAACGCGTTGAAAGATATGCCACTATGTTGCCATCATTTCCCAACACTATAGTGTGGTCTCCTTCGAACTGGTGCAAAAGAACGTCCACTGACGAATTTTGGGATCAAAAATGATGCAAAGACGTTAAAATCGTATCTTTAGTGTAAGATTTACAATAAGTGTTAAAAACCTAATTCAAACTCACAAACGGAAAACCTGACCCATCAAGCTATTACGATATATATATATATATTTATTAAAAACTGAATCATTGGATAATGCAATTCTAGAGCTCTTATTGGCTTAGCCATTATGGTATATGAGCCATTATACCATGCTCTCCATATATGGTCGGTGTACGCGTCAGTTTAAAATTGGAAGCTAGCTGAGAAGTTTTTTCCGCGAAGGATAGAATGGCGCCCGAAGCAAATCGTTTTAATTCATTTCTTAGAATACTAGAAAATGCAATTTCATCGGGAAAATAACAAAGAAACAAAAGCCACAAGAGCTTGTTTGAAAGTTTAACGAAAACACATGAAAATACTTGGAACTAAAGTACCTTGACCAGCTACGAAAGAAGACAAGTGTTGTTTCTTCATGATTGCGAAGCGACTCGCCGATTCACTCGCCGATAGATAACTGCGGCTTGTTTATCCGACATGAAGAATATAAATCACAAGCAACCAGAATACAGGCTATGCAGCCATTCACTACAGCAATCGAGGCGTCAGTATCGCTTCTTTTTCTCGTTCAGCAAAACCAGCTGGTGGCTTCAAACAACTTCATAACAAGCGACCGGGGTAATAGTTTTTCTCAGTTGTTCTTACTTTTGTAACTGCAGCGAAAATCCAAATTTACAGTAATTTCGACGGCTGCTACTTAAAAATTCTTTTTCTTCACATTATCTGCCAGGTTTTTTAGCTGTCCTGCTGTGTAAATTCCTAGAATTTCGATGAGTTTTTTTTAAAAAAAAAGAGTTCATCGCTACAATGTTTTGATTTTTCATTCAGTCCGTTCGCGCGTTGACAGTTTTGATAGACTTGTGACATGTGAATAGCGGAAGTCCCTTGTCTTTTCCGGTTTGTTCTAACAAAATTCAACGAGATTTTGTGGGGGTTTTTAATAAAACAATTATTCCACTCGCGCTTGTTGGATATGAGATAATTATAGCCAACTCGGCGCTACACTACTCGTTGGCTATTTACCATCTCATATCCAACGCGCCCTCGTGGAATAATTGTTAAATATACAGTGAGCTGTATAAAAGTGGGGAAAAAATACCACCTATGTTTCTAGATCATAGCTAAACGCTTTAATAGGTTATTAACTGAAAAGTGAAAAATGTAAAGGCACAGAAAGAAAGAAAGGAAGAAAGATAAAAATGAACAAAGAAAGACTTTAAAACGACACTGCCTAAGTTAAGGTTGCTAGTTCCGTCAAGTGCTTTTAAATTTGCTTGATTTTTTCTGTTTTTACTTAGTATCGAAGCTGGCTTCAGTCCGTGGAACAATGCGCTTCTACCGCAGGTGAAGATTTTGCAGCTGTTCTGGGTTGTGCTAAGGGCTCCAATCTAGCCTGACCATTACAGCAATACAAATGTTAATAGAAAAGCTACAAGTCAAAAGAGTTATACAGCCAGAGGAGAGCAATACGTCTCTGTAGAAAGTATCATACTAAATAACCCTTCAATTCTTTGATGTCTCTGTACTCATAAAAGTGCGTCGAAACTGAAATACAGATCTTGCAATTCAAAGCGATCACTTGTTTTTTTTAATTTATAACTCTCAATCCCTTTCCTCCTTTAAGAAAATACTGAAGATTAAATTATTAAGTAACCCTGAAAACCGATCACTGAAAAATTTTTCCATCTTCGCCTTCGGCATCTTCAGTCTTCAATTGATCTAAACAACTCTAGCACGTAGGTCGAGGAGGCCTAACCTATCATAAGCTCCTATAGTTTCTGTTTGGTCTCCTCGCCACGTACTTCTTTTTTCTACTTTTCCCATATTATTTGTAATTCATTTTCTAATATTTTGTTGGGCAAATGAAATAAAATAACTTAATGCATGGACTCCGGACCCAATCGAAGTTTTCCCGCAGTGTATTACACTCACTTACCTTGTCACAGGTATGTTTTAGATTGTCTTAACCCATTGACGCCCTTTAAATTAAAGACTACGAGCCGAAATATTATTGATTCAATATACACAGCAGCGTATAGTTAGTCACCTTAGTGTGTTGCAGTGTGGATGAAAATACTTGTCACGTGACTTTTTGAAGGGCAAACCCCAGTCCGAGGCCACTCCTAACCCTAACTGTTGAACTAGAACTCACTTGGAGGTCAAAGCACCATGCAATACTTATTTCGTAATCCCAAGAAAGCCCCTTGGTTAGAGTCAAGCTGGGCCTTACATTTTCTGGGAGTGTCAAATATCTAGGTCACGTGATGCAAATCGTTCCTTTAAAAGTGTGCTGAATCTTCGTAAAGCAACACATATTTCAAGAGTTTGCCGAAGGTCTACTATCGATCTGTGTTTAATGAATCTTCCAAAGAGTTCATCTTCCGAAAGTTTGCTGAAAGTTTACACCCTGAGTAAAATTTTACTTTGGATTAAGCCTTCAAACCCGGTTGTGAAGCTCGGTGTCCGTTGTGCCACAACTATCTGCTGAAGTTGTGTAACTCGGCGGCCGTTGTTCCATAACGTAAATCTACCAAGATATGACTCGATCAAATGACCAGAAAATTAGTAAGTTAGTGACGTAAGCCGCACACACATTCCACTGACATTCCACTGAAGGCTTTGATGATTCCCTTGAAACGTGTGAAATTAAGAGGTGTAGTGTAAGTGAACCAGTGTTCAAACACAATCATTGTGCCCCGGCGTTCAGCACAAAAAAAGGGGTCTTGGGTCGATCTTTAATATCATCAGAAGTTAAGAAGACTTGCTAGTAACCGTTTCATTTTATATTAAATATATAAAAATTGTCTGCATGTGGAATTCCCAACAAATAAAATTAATGATTACATCTTAAACTTTGTCAACTGTTTGCTTTTTAACATCATTTATGTGGTAGATGTTGATTGTTGATGTAGATGTTTTCACTCTATCTTTCACTTCATATATTTCATTACATTTAGTCTACTCATGCATCCCCCGGATAATAAAGGAATTAAATTAACTGCAAAAATCGTGAACGAATATGCTGCTCGCTATAAACGTTGGATCTGTAGAAAAGAGCCCGGGGGCGGGGGTCACTTGGGTAAATTTTTGCTGGGTATGTGCCGCTGGCCTGTCAGAGCCGCTACCCCATTATAGTCTATTCTGTGTGGGCAAATGTGTAATTTTTGCGATCCCAACGTAGTCACTTTCTCTTTTATGAATTGACCCATTTTTTATGAATGAAGATCTGACATTAATTTTTACCTACAGTACAAACATTCTGGTACGTTTGCTAACCGTAAATATGAAGAACCGTCTCACCCCCAAAAAACCGAAAATGTGCGACCCCATTCTAGTAACTCTATTGAAAATGCGACCCCATTTTAGTCAATCCAGTCGTGAAAATGCCACCCCATTCAGCGGCACATCCCCGTTAGCCTCTTATAAGGACGTAACCCCCCCCCCTCCCTCCGCTCGGGAAAAAGAGATCTAATCAGCCAAAATATTAAGAACCAAAAACGAGACCGGTCCAAAGTATTGCAAAGCTGATCAGAACATGAACAACCTGTATTGCTTTTTCATAACAATATTTCGTCGGCTGGTCATACCAGCTTTCTTCAGGTTTACAGATGTTACTGAATTCATGAAAGGAATCACGATATTATCATGGAGAATGCCGCAATAAAAATTGTTTAAAAGGGAGAAGCGGAAATGACGTCCAACCAGCTGGAAAAAGCCGCATTACAATAATTCGTCACGGCACTATCAAATGGAGCCCCCATCTCCCATACAAGCCCTTGGAGTCAACCCTTCCCGAGTAGATTTATAATTAGAACGGTTCCCAGGGGAGACTTCGCGCGCCGACGGTGGGAAGAGCCAATCACAACGACTAAATGACACTGCTATTGTACTTCACGAAACAGCAGGAAATCCGGTGCTGACAGGCCAAACAAAATCATAAGCTAGTGAAACGTGACTTTAGAGTTTTCATCCCTCAGAGATTTTCTTTCTTTTCTTTCTAGCGGGTAGATTATACTATGGAGAGTTTTAAACTCTGACTATGTTAATCTTAATTTTGGTTGCTTGTCTCACGTTAAGCTGGTCTGTTACATGCGTAAGGATTAACTACTACCTGCAGTCTGTAGTTCTGACAGGATTCGTTTTCTTTAGCCAATTTTTTTGAGCGTTGTACAGTACCGCAAATGATCCCTAACCGCAAATGATCCCGAGACCGCAAATGATCCCCAAAATGGACCGCAAATGATCCTCGACCGCAAGTGATCCTCAAAGTCGACCGCAAATGATCCCGAAAGAAAAATGGGAATAACTTGGACTCAAGTCAGCGGATCATCGTGTCGATTATATTATTATTACAATAAGTCAGAGTTAAAAGCTAAATTTTACTTCTCAAATAAATATATGAATAAAAACTAAATGGCTCTGGCTCTGGCGGGTAGATTATATTTCTGGCTCTGGCGGGTAGATTATACCTCTGAGGAAAACCTGCCTCCTGGATCCGAATAATCATAAGCGATTTTCTTTTAGTCCGTAAATGTGACGGTTTCTTACGATGTTTTGTCACGCGATAACTACCGCTTACCTAGCTTTGGCGTTTCTCATTACCAGGTTTAGATTCCTGGTAATTGTCTTCAGCAAAGCACAACAAATGAATATACATAAAAACGCTAATATAACTATTCACAACACGTTCATGAGACGTAAGAAAGTTGCTATTTCCATATAAACCTAAACCTGTGGACATTGATAAGTTCGGGGGCATTTTGACTTGTGTTTATGTTAAATCATGTCTTGTCTCGTAACGGGCTCCTAAGTTACGAACAAATGTCTTGCTGTAACACTTCAGAGAAAAATCAAAATGAAATATTCTGGCTGATTAATTTCACGCTTTCAAAAAGATCGGTAAAGTCAATAAAGCTCTTGTTAGGTAGAGGGTGCCCTGCTTTGTATTCCTCAGTAAAAAAGTTGAGCTTCTAGGCGTTACATAATTTTTCTGCGTAACGTCCTGCCTGTCTTAAATTTTTCAAAAGACGAAACGTTCTTAAAAGAAAATTGAAGCAATCGACAAAGGAAGAAGTATACGGTTAATACCATACCTTTTCAGATTTATTCCATTTTTTTTCCGCCTTGTATAAATTGACCTGAGATGTAGCGTCCTCCCTCCCTTTTTCTTTAAAAGGCGAGAGAAAAAGGTTTCTTTTTTATAATCAGTCCTTTTTTGTAATCACTCCCATAAAATCCATTCCATTCCTCAAGTTTTCACGGGATCATTTGTGGTCGACTTTAGGGATCACTTGCGGTCGAGGATCATTTGCGGTCCATTTTGGGGATCATTTGCGGTCTCGGGATCATTTACGGTTGGGGATCATTTGCGGTACTGTACAGCGTTAAGGTTCTTATTTCGGCTAAATGACTCAATATTAATCAAATTTCTAGTTTTTCAAGTTTTTATCCGAAATGCGTTTGTCTGAATAAATACTGTGGTTGTTTTGTCAGTCAATTAGTGTGATGATTCCCTGCTATGTTTTGTAACGCCGAGCCCAGCCATTGTTTTCTCGCAAAAAAGTGATCTACAGATGCGAATTCGAAGGAAAGAATTGGCCTAAACTTCTACATTAATTGCTGAGAATTCTCCTGTTGGTCAGTCATAATTCTTTGGGCGCAGTTACAATCCATTTTGTTTTTCTTGAGATAAGAGGGTCTTTGGACTGGAGCGCGATGTCACAAATTCCACCGTTAGCAAATTACTTTTTAGTTTAATAGCTTCACGGTCGAGCAACTGTTGTCTTCTGTTCAACTTTTCAAGTGCCAGTTTTATCGGGCAACTCTCATGGTGATACAAGTCAGTTGTAAAGGAAGACTGCAATTTTTCTGAAGCATTCCTCCTTAGTTGCTACTTAGGTCATCGCTTTTGCACACGGTGCTTAACTGGCGAAATCCACTCCATGGCGATGACAAAAATAAATGATCCTGGCACTTTTTCGGCGCTGATCATCGCGAAGTTTCAAGTCGTCCACAGAACGCTTAATCGTCGACTCTTTTCACGGTGCATGCTTAAATGTGGGATGTATGACGGCAAAAAAAAAAACAAACAAACAAACACTCGCAAAGAACCTTTCCGTGATCCTCAGTTCGGTGCCTTTGTCCCATCGCTTTATGCTCAGTCTCAGTCGGGTAATTCATTAACTTTTATTTCATCCCAGATCCCAGTGGCTGTAATGGACGTATAGTAAAAAAGGAAAACGGTCGAAGGACGGGCTTCTGAGTTCGACTTCATCGAACTTCATTTTTTTCACAGTGACATACGAGACTCACGGAAATATGACACTTTTCGCGGGAAAAAAGCCGTTCTATTTATAAATCTACTCGGGAAAGGGTTGACTCAAGAAATTAATGGAGATGGAGGCTCCATTTGATGGGCTCCTGGTCACGGCGGTTTAGGCCATTAGGGTCAAGAGTCATGGAATTTTTTCTACTGGGATTAACTGCATGTCAATGAGAACACTTTCTCTCTCACTCTAACCATTCTCATACTGACATGCCGTTAATCCCACTAGAGAAAATTCATTCTTCACGTGACTCGAGCGATGAAAATCGCTCCACGCGAGAAAAGGCGACACGCGGCGCCTTTTCTTGCGTGGGGTGATTTTCACGCCCGCTCGCGTTTCGGTCCCTCTCTTTTCCCTGAGGAAAAATGGGGATTACTCGAAGTCTACTATTCCAGCGGACTAAAATAAATTGTCTTTAGCTAATTTCTATTGTTAACAACCTCTATTAAGCGGACACCGTACTGAATTGATAATAGTAGTATTGGATT